AACTGCAAATATCTCAATGAAGATACATTTTTTCGATATATGGTTTCAAATAAAATTTGTTCACAATTAAAATTCCTACAAAATGTGGAAATTAATATTTTGGAGCCAAAATAATGGTCAATTCATTTTTAAATAACGAAAGTGTATTAGAAAAAAGAAAATTGCGGAAAATTCTTGGAAAATCTTTTATTACCGTTACCGAGGTCATCATCTTGTAGGTTTTCCAGAGTGTACATTACGAATTTTGCGCTTTTTAATATTTTCAAGAAAAATCTGTTTTCTTTAAATTTTTTTATTGACTGGACTGAATATTAAAAAGTAATAATTTGTAATATAATGAACTGAAAACTTAAATTTGATGACAGTAGGAAAGAAATTTTCTGGAGCTGCAATTATATCAATACAATTTTTTTATTTATTTGTAATTAAAATTTACACTTTATTTATTATTTTTAACAATTTTTTATGGACTTCCATATCAAGGTTTCTTATGCAAAAATGCTTCATCGCTGTGGCAAAAACATTTCAAAGAAAACAGATTTTAACTTTCCTAGACTAATTATACCATTTAATATCTAGATTCAGACACAGAGCAAGGCTAGTTAAAATTATCTTGGGGAGTAGATACACCTGTATTGCCCCGGTTTCGTGATGTCGTCCCTAAATGAATAGACAGAGCGGGTTTATATGTAGGAAAGTGTTTTGGACTTTGAAATATCACCGGCGCTGGATGCTAAATTTCCCATTTCCCAGTGGATTGCCTGTATCACAGACCGACGAAGACAACACCATAATTTATAACAGTACGCGGAGCAAGACAGAGACAGATAGACGGTGAGGAATATATGCCATCCCTCTGAAACACAATGGTCATGTCATATTTCTGCAAGGAACAAGTCGTTTTGCATCTTATTACTTTTTTAATAATGTGTATGGTGCTGGTATTTTATTGCTTCTTTCTTGGAATTAAGGTAGACGAGACTTCCACCCGGGTTATTATTAATATCTGGCCATTTTGCTCGAGAGTGATCTATTTATTTATTTTTATACCACTGGCTTTATCTAAATTGGTATCTGCTACGCAACGCAACTTACGAGCAGCGCTTCTTTGAGAACAGTTTATGTCGAGACACTCCCATTTAGATCTTGATTCTATTAGATTAAATTTCACGGCTTGCCATGATCAGTAACATTTCCTTTTACAAAATTTACCAAATACTGTAATTGTCTATTCAAGCTGAATTTTATTCAATAGAAGGTTGATTTGATCAGAGCTTTTTACCAGGAAGTTTTCACAAACTTCCACCAACCATCAGTACTGGGCCACCTTGTACATGCCATTTTTTAATTTCCTGTTCGATATTAACCGAAATAATAATTTTTCCCAAAATTGAAATGTTTACTTTTTCGGTCCAATTTCAGACAATTTACTGGGAGAACAAGTCACAATTAAATAATTTGTTGTAAAACATTTTTTTTTTTTAATTTTTTTATTACCGTCGTTTCGGAATTTCGTTTCGGGATTATTTTTCCCATCTTTAGATAAAATAATAATAACCATGGATCATAATATTTGTCCTTATTATTATTTTATCTGAAGATGGGAAAAATAATCCCGAAACGATCGTAATGAAAAAATTTTTATAAAAAAAATTTGTTTTACAACAAATTATTTAATTGTGACCTGTTCTCCCAGTAAATTAATAATTATTCAAGAAATTACATGGTCAGAATGAAAAAAAAAATTATATAGTAATAAATATAACATTTATTGAACGTATTATAACTACTTTGTTTATATTTATTTGTAGTTATGTTGCAGTCTGTACAACTATTAAACATTGGCTGAACTTTACTTTAATTACTTTAATTATTTATTATTTACTCGAAAGTCTGCCATATTGTTGTTAATTATTTCTTCGTCGACAATATTATTACTATTAGCTTTTTCTTTGACTCTCCTTCTAAATAATTTATTTCCTATGTCTAGTTTATTTGTAAAATATTTCTCTATACAGGGTGTCCCGGTACTTGATACAAAAATCGAATCGGATACAAATAGATGAGGTCAAAATAATATCAGTTCTTCATATAAATTTTTTTCATACGGGCCTTCGTTAACAAGTTACGGGCCCTCAAAGTTGAAAATTGAAATCTTATTTTTATTTACAGTCTCTAAACTATTAACTTCAGCGTGATCCAAATTTGGTGATCTATAACATATGTATGCATGTGTTATCGATGTTGTTTTTGATGTTGTAATTGAAACTTCATTATGCCCAGAACGCCAGGGACGGACTATGCCCAATGGTTAACAACCCAGAATTTTTGCATAGATGACGATCGCAATCTGCCTGCATGAAAAATAATTTCGCTGAAGAATTTGCCAACCTTTTTGGTTCAACGCGGCAAAATTAAGAGTTTAGGAAACATTTGTGATTCTATGTTACAGTGCACATCGAGCGGCGCCTCTACCATTTTTTGTGTTTAATTTTTAATTGGACATAATTACAATGTTAGAACCGTACATATTTTTAAAATAATGGCCTACAAAATGTTACCGTCTGCTAAAGTAATTTTCAACTAACACAATTTATTACAAATAACACAAAATAGAAAAACAAAACAAGAATAAGTTAAAGTAAGTTAAGTATTCAACTACAATATCGATGTCCATTCAGACGTTTCTCAAAAACGTATATACCTATTAATTATTACCCACTTATTACCCAATAGATCCATCCGTTTTTGAAGAACGTCTGAACGGACATCGATATTTGGGGTTTTTGAAAAATAATTTGGAGTCACTATTAGACGATGTTCCATTAGACACCCGAAGAAACGTTTGGTTTATACGAAGGGACTCCTCCTCATTTCAAAATTGTGTATGAAATTAGACATATCTGCATTGTGTTTAACAATAAATGGATTGGGAAAGTAGGCCCAATTTCATGGCCACCACGTTCTCCAGACTTTAAACCCGATGGACTTCTTCCTGTGGGGATACCTGAAAAGTATAGTGTACTCAACCCCAGTACAGACAGAGAATGAATTGCTACAAAGAATTCATTTCCATTGTGATAATATTAGACATACCCCAGAAATGCTTTTCCGTGTACAAATAAATAACATTCATAGACTTAGGAAATGTGTGGAGGTGGAAGGTGCCCATATTGAAAATGTATTTTCATAGTTTTCTTTCTTTTAAATTATTTTTGTAACTTACTTAAACTTATTTTCTTTTTTTTTCTATTTTGGGTTGTGTAAAATGTGTTTGTCAAATTCTGTTAGTGAAAATTACATTAGCTGGCAGTGAGATTTTCTAGGCTCTTATTTTAAAAAGATGTACTGTTCTAACACAGTAATTATGTCCAATTAAAAATTAAAAACAAAAAATGGTGGAGGCGCCACAAATATTTCCTAAACTGTTAATTTTACCGAGTTGAACCAATAGGAAAATTCTTCAGAAAACTTATTTTTGATGCAGGCACATTGCGATCTTCATCTATGTAAAAATTCTGGGTTGTTAACCATTGGGCATAGTCCGTCCCTGGCGTTCTGGGCATACTGAAGTTTCACTTACAACATTAAAAAGCAAACTGTACGTATGTGTTATCGATCACCAAATTTGCATCATGCTGAAGTTAATAGTATAGAGACTGTGAATAAAAATAACTTTTTAATTTTCACCTTTGAGGGCCCGTAACTTATTAACGAAGGCCCTTATGATAAAAATTTATATGAAGAACTGATATTATTTTAGCCTCATCTATTTGTACCTTTTTTGTATCAAGTAACGGGTCACCCTGTATTATCTGGTGCTTGAATAATAAACGTTTCAAATTGTATATTTGACGAAACGTTTGACTTCTTTGGTTTATAGTTGTCATCTTGATACGTAATTTCAAATATTTTGATATATCAATGTCTTCCTTTGTACTAAGTGTTGTTTTCAAAATGGAGTAATTTGACCACAATGTAGGTGCCTTCAACTTTGTAGATAAATCCGAAAAGTATGCAATTATAACATTTTCGGATCGAGAGGACGTATTTTTCTCAATGCAATAAGTCTTGAAACGTTTCTAAGCGAATTCGTACTTCTCCTTAGATTTGTTAGGTAATAAATTTTAAGTCACATTTTTTGCAACTACATACTACCAACTCTAGTGATGCCCTGAACACCTGTACATCATCTTCGGTGTCCATTTTAAATATTTTTTAATGCCTATATGTATTTTAATTAAGGTAATTTTTAAATAATCAAATAATAAATTGAAATAATCACGTTATCTGGGAATGAAATAAAATTTTAACGTAACTTTACTCTGCTATTTTTAACAAATTGAAATAATCGATATCTTAATTCTGAATATTTTGTGCCTCGAAATGTTTTTATTAATTTGTGGTAGGTATACAATTCGCTATCAAAGTTTAGTCAAACTTTTTAGTTACCTTTTAATATCGCCAATACAATCTAGTTGGTAATGAGAATCATGAACGCTATTTTTTTTTATTAATTGAATTTATTCTTAATAAAAAGTCAAAATTTTCGTAAAAAATTGTTTCAAAATTGTTATCGCAATATGGTTTTTTCTTGTAACGTCGCGAGTATATTTTCTTTAATAAATGATTCTCAATACATATTTAAACAAATTTGTTAAATTTAAGCATTTCCGTAAAAAAAATGTGCGAAACAAAAATTTATTTCATAATTCCAATATAAATCTGCGCGTTTCCTGAACATGTATGTCCAAATTCCTATCCCCATGAAATATCTGGGCGTTACATATTAATTTAAAAAAAAAAACTGAAAAACGCGGCTACGTATGACATCATCGGCTATTTATCACTGCTGGAATTTTCAGTTTCCTATTCCAAGAGTAAACGATTCCGCACCTCCATTTTAATATCGCACATGATGCCGCTATCCTTCCTTGTTCTTGTTTATTGTTGAAGTTAGATTGTATCATTACACCGTGACAGTTTGACTGGTGTTGCAGGATGAAGAAAAGTGAAGCCGCCGCCTGTGATCCTGCGGACTCCGGGGGCCAAAGCCGGCCTGATCCTGATACTTTAGACCCCAAATATAACTTTAGAATTGGAATATATGGGTGGAGGAAAAAATGTTTGTACATTCTCATCCTGGTGCTGCTCGTCATGGTTATCGTCAACCTGGCCCTCACCCTGTGGGTGCTCAAGGTCATGGAGTTCTCGTCGGTAAGTAGGGGATCTACGTCTACGTCGCTGCTGCTTAGGTGCTTCTAATGGGCTATTGAATAGAGGATTTTAAAAGGAAATATGACGTTCAAGATATTTTATTACATGAATCGTTCAAATGGTCATTTTAGATGAAAAAACCGCGGATTGCTATTAAATTAGAGGGGTATTAAATTGGAGATAGATGTGAAAATGCACCCTTTCAGTTTTTTTTTATTATAACTCGAAAACGAAGCAAAATTTCGCTATAGTTCATAGGAAAAATTATTTAGAGAATCGAATTTCCCATCAAATTGCTTATTAAAAAAAAAATAAAAGGAAAATTTTATGCAAAAAAATCAATAAACAATTTGAAAAAAGCAAAATATTTTTTTATTTTTTTTTACTTTTTTGCCTCTAGTTTTTTTTGTGTAAAGATAGGTATAGGCATTGTTTCATAGAAAAAAGTAGATAAAATTTCCTTCAAAACAAGAGGTTGTAATGTATTTTTGGTTGAAAATTGACTGATATATGACCGCTCAAACTTAGCCAATTTTTCGATTTTCGCCGCGTTTACTTTTATACGTTCGTTTTAACCCTGTTTTTTTGGATATATTCAATAGCCTATAATGCTCGGCAATTCATCCGTGATTTAATTCACCATTTTGATCAAGAATCTAGTTTTGCCATTTACAACCAAGTCACAGTAAATAAAAGCAAATAGAATGTGAATGAATAATCAAACTAAGATTTTTGACTGGGTAAATTTTCTCTCAAAATCAACGCAACTAGGTATTTTTTGTTATGACACACCCAAAAAAATTGTGGTATTTATCCATTATGTTCTGTCAGTTTAAAGAATTTTTGTAAACATTAGTAAACTAGTGCTCAAATTATAGTCTGTGCCATGTTTTAAAAACTAAACAAGTCTTTGATATAAATAGGATTTTAGAACAAGAATTAACAAAAAATATTTTCATGTTTCGTCCCCTCTCATTTGTTATAAAGTTCCTCTCCAATTGGGACCATATTAAGCTGAGTCATTGTAGTTACTTGTATGATGTCAATAAATATCAATTTTGGTGTGAACAATATTTAGTAATTGAATAACGTTTTTCCGATAATTTATTTGAGAACAGCGCGTTTCAAGCAATTACTTTTCATGATTCTTCCGAAATGCTAGTCGTGATGGGTGTTCTGTGTAATACGAGTGTGAATTAGAGACATGAGACAGAAGTGTATAACAAGTACCACCATTAACTTTTTACTGCCTAGCATCGTAAATCTAGATGGCTATTAAAATGGGTAATTTGGAGTAAATTTTAAGTTGGCACAGCATACTCATATTGTGTGCAGCATTTAAACTGGTTTCACACATTAACTGAATTTAGATAAGATCACATACATGTAAAAGCTAGTAGGTGTGTCGGTTGATTTAGTGACTATTAGTTCAACATTAAACATGGATTCGAGCTAGCCATGGGCGGCATATTTAATGTAGAATTTTAAAAATCGATACAAAATTAAAATTACAATTTGAATAATAATTATTAAAATTTATTGGAGCAATAGAGACAACGTTCTGTTCTGATGATGCTATAGTTGCTGCAGATTTTGGAATGCGACATCACTTTCTGTCACCGTAGTGTTTCCTCGATAATTTCCATGTAAAATCTTGTTTGAAAATTGACTTTTATTTTCTATAGAGTCTTCGATATATCCCTCAGCTACAGAGGACGAACGCCAACCACCGTGCCTTTTAAGGCCTACAATATCTAGTCCTTGGTTTACCAGAATAGATATTTATCACCTGGTACCTAAGGTTTAGGACAGTTTTCCATCTCTGTCACAAAAAGAAAATTGGGTGACTGTACTGTAATTCGATAACCTATTTTTGACACAATACGGGCAATTCCCGGAAAGTCAAGAAGTTTTAATTAAGGCAATACGACCATAATGCTCCATTAATTAAAATGCTCAGTGACGGCGCTTTATCTGGCACTTTTTCGGTAATATCGCCGACACGTAATGAATGCATTATTTTCGCGTATTAATGAGTAACAGAAACAACTGTTGCGTCTCAATTAAGAGACTTTTAATTAAGAAAATTTGAAAAGCTTTTTTCACTTGTGTCTGCTCTATATTTAACATCTTTATTTCACGACCTCGGGATATAATTACCATAGAGGGTTTCGGATTCATCTCCGAGGAAAAGAGGCTTTATTTTATTTTTATTATTTCGGCTCCGCTTTTCAATTGACAGTCCACGCCGCAGACGCTGTATTATAAGAATTTTTTAATATAATTAGAAAAAACCATTCGCGTCTGTATCAAAAGGAAAATAACGGCAGTTATTTTTTACGGCAAGGAGATGATGAAAATTTAATTACCCCGACGCAGCTTCACCAACTTGTCAATCGGCTACAACTTCTTGTGTGAAATTTTAAATACGTATTTACAGGAGCAATTATGAAAACTAATTAATTTTATTTCTTCCATAATTAATTTATAAATGTACACTTTTACTTATCATCGATGTTGTTCAAATAACTGTTATACTTGCAACCTTTATTTAAATTATTCAACGTAAAAAGTACAATGTTTTAAATTTGGATTAATAATTAAAGCACATGTCCACATAAATCCACCACAAACAAATACAGTATCCCGTACTAAACCAGAATCCTCCATTTCATCGTTAATACTAGATTCGTAATTGACAAGATAAATTACGGTCTGAACACAACAATGTCAGTAAATCATTACCTCCCCAACTAGCACAAATGATTTTATAATAGCTGAAAGACCATGTAAAATATATTGCGATTATATCAAGAGCTGATGCTCTACAGGCTTTAACAACGGTTTTTCGTTGTCTATTCAAAGCTACCTCCATCCAGATTACAGAATAATTTGCTTTTATCATATACGATAAGTTTCAAACCTAGCAAAAAGTAATCAACGACGAGAGTCACTTTGAGAATTGAAAAAATAAAACAAATGTAGGACCAATAATTAGTTTTTTAAATCACCTTGCAATAAACTGTTTGTCAGAAATTATTAAACCTCTTGCTGGAACTTTCACCTAGCAATTTGGTTACTGATGAATTGAGAAATGGATTTAAAGCCCAACCAGTATAGAACAGCTTTAGGAAGAATTGTTTTCAACTACCGAGAGACAAAAATTCAACTATTTGCTTAAATTTCTGCTCTGAATACGGAAACTTCTCCAATAATAAGGTAATGCGTCTGCTCATAGAGCTAAAACTATCATTTATGACAAGACTACGACCCTCTCCCTACCGTTACATAATTACAGAACCCTTACTAATCGGCGATAACCTAATTATGGGGCAACCTTGATCAGATTGCGATGAACGCCAGACATGCAGTGAATAATTATTAGAGTTGAAACTTCTATGTCCATATTTTCTAATGAAGGACCAATACTATTATTCACCACAGAAATTGTTGAAAATTGATTAAAATTACTTTCACGATACATAAAATTTAATCCGGTTTTCAATTTAATTCAATTTTCAATAGTACATACTTGAAATAAAACTGTCCAATTATATTTAATTTTTTGTTCAATACTTTGTACTTAAATTTTTTCACCCTCTCTGGTATGGGACATTTTGAATTAATATGAACTATAATCGTCCAATTAACGTTACCGGAAATCTCAATAAAAGAATTAAGCTTTTGTGGAGATTCCGGAAAATAACACTGCATATTATTTCTTATTCTTCACTATTCAAGAATTATGTTACACTGAAATAAATAAAGAAGTAAAGCAAATAGGAAATCTCTAACTAAAACAATTTTAGAATAACATTGAAAAAAATGTTATTTCGTGGTACTACATTGAGTTCTTGTCCCTTCTTCACAACGCCCAGTCAAATTTGTGTGGCGAGGTGTCGTGTATTATTATTTATTGAATAACAACTTGTTTTCAGCTTGAAACACCAAATTTAATCTACTTCATTCTTTTTATTTCAGGAAGGAATGGGTCACCTGAAAATTGTTACCGGGGGGCTCAGGTTAGAAGGCAAAGCCTTCGTCTTGGATAGTCTAATAGCAAGTAGTATAAAGTCAAGAACAGGGCAACCGATAGTGATGGAGTCTAGTAAAAATTTAACTTTAAAATCAAGACATAAAAACGGAAGTTTAAGTAGTTGGATATTTTTAGGTAAGTTGCTCAAACTTTTAAAATTGTCACCACACTATGTAACACACAAACAAGATGTGTCATGATGAATAAATACAAAATATTGCCAAAGAAATAAATTGTAATCGAAAAAAGATTGGAAGCAGTTAATTTTTTGTTACTTAGACAACATTGAATTCGATTTTTTTACATTCAAGGTTAATTTGATGGTGATTATGAAACACAAATATTTTAAAAACTTGTTTTAATATTAGAAATTATTGAGATTCCGACAAAGCTGTCAAAATTTTAACAAAATATTAAATATCTCTAAAACGGTGGCTGAATTTAGCCCTGTTTTTTGATAAAATTATGCTCATTGTCCTTGTGTTACAATTTATTAAAAAACGACGATAAACCAGTACAAAATTGTTGGAATATGAGATAACAAACGAAATATAATTCATTATGATGATATTTACAAAGTACTCAAATTGAATGCATTTATAACTTTACATCTGTTGACGCGGTACATAAACAGCATTACAAACACTGTGCCACTTACATTCGGGAATTTCGAAGTTCGTAAAACATAATAGTGTTTATTTACCAATAATAATTGAAACAGCTGCTACCTATTAACTTATATTTAATTTGGCTCGGACCCAATTTTAATTTTGCAACATCAAGATCTGGAAAAAGGTATCTGTTTTAATTTTAGCGCTGTTTTACGCGAATTTTCCAAGCGTAAATGAACCAGTACAATTCGCAAATTTTACATCGTCGTAAAATTTAATTCACTTGATAGTGTGTTTATTCCAAAATTAAGAGATATAAATCTGGTGATAAAGTTATGTTATTGACACGAAACGTCAATTGACCATCTTTTTACGCCAAGAATTAAAGAATATATTTTATTTTTTTCGTGAAATGCTTTGTAAGTTAAAATAAATGAGAATAGTTGAAAGAATATTTTAGTCATTAGTTTATTATTTGAGAAAAATGTTCAAATAAGTTAAACTGTCATAATTAGCATGTTTGTTTACTGTTTTGTATATCGACTTGAATTAAATGCATTCATATTCGCAAATATCGAAAATTTTACATGCGAAACAACTCTAATTTTATTGTTTAAGCAAATAGCAAATCAATGGGAACATAACACATCGCTATTTGAAAGACATGAATCCTGGTCACAATCCTGTTCTGAGTATATTCAGCTGTCTTCGTTGATCAACGTCTTTGATGCTGAAATAAAAATAAAGAACGGTTTAGATCCATTTTCCGTGAACCACAGTGTCCGTTTTCCGTCGCTATTCAAGCCAAACTGACGAAAAATCCGCAAATTTATGTACTTTAGCATGGTAATCCGACTAAACGGTCGTTTAGACTGAGATTTACAAAGAAACCTGCCCCGCGTTATTAAAAGACCAAGAAAGTTTTAACAAAGCCTCGTTCATTCCAGGAAATGACCGCTTCGAGTGCCTAACAAACAGTTTCAAAATTATGGACGACCGAGGAGTGCTCCTGTTCTCCGCTAACGCAAACGAAGTCGTGGTGGGCGCTGAAAACCTCCGCGTCACCGGAGAAGGGGGCACGAGCTTCAGCGGGTCCGTCCAAACGACCCTCGTGCGTGCCGAATCTGGGCATGAACTGAGGTAGGTATACTCGATGGGTATTAAAATGAGATTTTCCGGTTTGTTTTTCATACGGACTGTTTCCAGTACAATGCAACAATTTTGCTATCTCGGAAACGTTACCACGTTATCAATAATTTTGTTTCCTCCATGTTGGTTAATTATACAAAAAAATTGAAACACTATATCTCAGACGCGTTCATTTTTACATGAAAGTTTATATAAACAATTATTTTGATTTTTACCGGAGGAATCTGCCCTTAAAGTTTGTACGAGACGTTCAGATTAAAAATAGATAATCTTTCTAATGGAAATATTTTTTCATTTCTAAAGTCAGTTTTTCGCAAATATTGAAAGTAAATCATAGTATTCATATTCCCGAAAGTATCGTGTGGGCAACAAAAACCGAAGGTTACGAGCTAAGCGAACACATGTTGCGGAATAGGCCATGAATAAAGGAGGGAGCCCTGTATCAAGTAAGAGAACCCTAAAGTGGCGATGTAACAAAAGAAGTAATGCATCCTGGAGTCGTAAAGCACGCCGAGGCTCGCTGTATATTGAACGGTTTAATAGAAGGGTAACAGATTGTAGGTATGCCGAGGCGGCACTTCGGCACGCCAGACCACTATTTATAATCATAAAATTTATAAGAAAGCCAAATTAATATGCACGAGAAGTTTGAAAAGCAGATGGTGTCATAATTATTACCCGCAGCACCATCCAGACGATCTGACAGAGCCGCCTTTCCGGCTCTTTGCGAAGAATGTTTAACAGAGGAGCGCGTAACAATAAAACTTTAATAATATTTTAGTACAGCAATAGCTGTTCGTCAGAAAGCAGCGAATTGTTTCTCCATCCCTGTACAATGGTAACAGCAAGTGTCAATGACAGCACTTAATTACAAAGTCCGCCAAATGTACCTACTTTTTTAATAGAAATAAGTCACGGAATTTATGTTTTATGTTTTTCACTTCAAAAAAAACGTACAGTTGTGTAGTATATGCTCTAAGGTTTTGAGTAAAATCAAATTCCCCCACACCTTATTAGCTAAAACCATATCAGTAACTAAATAAGGGGGTTATTCTGTGTCTTCTGTCGGCAGCAGCGGCAGAGTTCGCCATCTGTAGCTGGTGCAGCAAACGACGCACTCGGAAACCACAGACTAAAAATGAATTAAGGAAACTTCATGGGAAAACACAATTAGAGTAACCTCTAATTCTACTATATAATAGATGTCGCTGCACCATAATGGCGGTAAATTTAAATGTAATAAAATACACTAAGAATAAAAAGTATCCATTCCATTTTTTTATTTTTTACGACTACAACTGACATAACTGAAACAAGCCCCTATTAATTCCACCCTCGAAGAGATGCCAGAAACTCTCTATTCATATTTTTCCAGGTTGGAGTCCCCAACGAAGACGCTGGCTGTGACGGCCTCGAAATCAATCCACATGGAATCCCTGGGCGGAAGAATAAAAGTGAACGCCTTAAACGATATATCATTAAAGTCTGAAGGGGGCGCCGTGAAGCTAGAAACCAGCTCCATAATGATGCCCCTAATTCCCATAGCCAACTTGTCTAACCGACCCGCAGCTTATAGATCTCACGACGTGTACCAGCTGTGCGCTTGTGAGAGCGGAAAACTGTTCCTCGCTTCCCCCCATAGTGAGTGTGCTTCGGAGAATGACGGTAGGGTGTGTCGATAATCAAGAGAGTTATTGGATATGTGTCAGAAACCTGTACTGATTTTTTAACGTTAAGTCAAACGCTCTTATGGTCAATCGTTATATACGAAATTGGTATTAACTATTTTAAATGGAACTCAGTAGGTACAAGTTTTTTTTAAGCCCAATGTTTTAAACTTATTTTATATTTATCAACAATTTGACCCAACAAGTCAATTTTGCACTGTGTATAATACAACAATTGTAGGGAATTGCCTTAACTTCAATAAATTGATAAGAAATTGAGGGACAATAAAACCAGTACTGCCACCGCGAACTCAGTCAAACATGGAGGAGCCCACGTTGGGCGCCATTTCTTCGTTGACGTTGGGCGCCATTTCTTCGTCGTTGGTCCTCCATGTTTAACCGACTTCGCCGTGGTATTCCTCAGTTCTAATTTATCGGTCAGTTTTGGGTATTTTTATAGTGGCGTAATTTTTAATCAGGCACACAGTCTTAGTTTTTGAGATGGACATAGTAATTTTCGCTAACAATTATTTTGTTCCAGTTACAGCGAACTGAAACTACAAAATATTAAAAGTTTTTTGACATAAACGGTAATTATTGCCAAAAATTATTAAATTACTATATATGAAAAATTATTTACTATTATTATTTATTATATATTTAATAAGGGCTTCTTAATTTATTTGAACATCAACCTGAGTAATTAAAAATGAAACCAATAATGAAAAGTATCTAAAATCCTATAAATCGTAAAATCCATATTCTGTAAAAATGTTACCTATCAATTCCACCAACTAATAAAATATAAAATAATAAATTATAAATACCAGTGGGCGTTAAAAAATCAGTAGCGTTCTGACACATTTTTTTATAAATACTTTGTATAATTGACAATGTTAATAATGTACATATTTTGTAAAGCATACAGAACTGTATACCTTATCCGTCGTAGTCATTTTGTTGTGCTTTTCGACAAATACCAAATAATAAACATATTTCAAAGGGATATTAAAAATGGAATTAATTAAAATAAAATTGAATCTAACCAACAAGCAGTAATTATTATTAAACTAAGAAGTAGACAGAGCATTGCTATTAAAATATTTTATAAACAAAGCGCCAAATGAATTTGCAGTATATTTGTTTTACAAATAAACATTTTAACCAGTATTTATATTATTTTATATTTGCCCTTTTTACCGTTTCAATCAATAGCAAAATATCTACGTTGGATACTGTAACGTGTATCGTATAACGCAATATATTGTATAAAAATAGGAACAAATTATAAATTAAGTTTATAACATATTTATTTTTTATTAGAATATGCTAAAAATGTAAAATTTTAGTAATAAAATTATTATTTAAACATGTACCCTTTATTTACTCCTTTGACCCTCCCTAGTTAATGTATCACGACCTCACAGCCAGTCCACGATAAAGATAAAAAGTATAAAAACACAAAACATATAATACGATAAAACCAAAAACTATGGCGGTTTCTCAAGCTCATGCTCGTTTCCGCCATCTATGAAAGGATGCGGCGCCATCTATACGTTAAAAGTTCAATTAATTCTCCTGTGAATGTCATGCTACAGTTGGCTACCTGCTAAAGAATTCTTTACCAGATTAGTACAGCTTTGAACGATAGATGGCGGCATGAAAATTTTGAACTATTTAATGCAACTTGACTGGTAAATCGACACAAGTACAAGTAAGCGCGTCACTTCTCTGATCAAAAAGTTGATTGGAATGATGTATTTCTATTAACGCGAAAATTTTAAAAAAATTAAATTGTTCATCTAAAGGCAGTACCGTACGAATCTAAGGTCAATAAACACGCTTTAATGGTGGGTTTTTGTGCAAATGCCTCCGTTAAGGAAAAAAATGGAGAATTTCGAAAATTGGAGAAGCTAGACCCGATTTTGTTCAGATTTCCTTGAAAAAAATGTCAAAAAATTAAAGTGATCATCTCAGGGCGGTATCGTACGCAGCAGGGGTCGCCGAATACGCTGGGATGGTTGGCTTTTGAACAAGCGCTTCCGTTGAGAAAAAAATCGAAAATGTCGAAAATTAGAGGAGTTACAGAGAAACTGACTGCAGTTTTAATTTGTTAGAAAATTTATTTACTTTTTGTTGGCTATGGCCCTCTTGAGGTTTTTTTTTGTAACTAATTGATGTATCTTGTATTGTGTTCATAGTATCATAGTTCAATAGTTCAGTGTTCAGTGTTCAGCATGTTCAGTGGTAGTTTGTTGTGGTGTGGATTGCAGCTTAAAATTTACTACATAGCTCACAGCATACTTCAACTTCAACCTTCAACGTTTATAATTTATAATACAGTAATACACACTTTTCAACAATGAAGTTAACTATTAAAATATCGGAATCTATTATAAAGGTATTTTTCAGAAATTCGTAAAATAACATTATGAAGTGTAGCTATCAATAACTGTTTTTAAAATGAATTGATAGGATTTACATGGACATTGTATTAAGCATATGTTAATAGTATCATTTTTTAGAGACTTTCTAATGCAAAAGAACCATGTTTCGGAAAATTATATGGATCTTTTTTTGAAAATACTTNTTGTATTGTGTTCATAGTATCATAGTTCAATAGTTCAGTGTTCAGTGTTCAGCATGTTCAGTGGTAGTTTGTTGTGGTGTGGATTGCAGCTTAAAATTTACTACATAGCTCACAGCATACTTCAACTTCAACCTTCAACGTTTATAATTTATAATACAGTAATACACACTTTTCAACAATGAAGTTAACTATTAAAATATCGGAATCTATTATAAAGGTATTTTTCAGAAATTCGTAAAATAACATTATGAAGTGTAGCTATCAATAACTGTTTTTAAAATGAATTGATACGATTAATACATGGACATTGTATTAAGCATATGTTAATAGTATCCTTTTTTAGAGACTTTCTAATGCAAAAGAACCATGTTTTGGAAAATTATATGGATCTTTTTTTGAAAATACTTATACAGTGCTTGGTCTACAAGTGGACATTGAGAATGGAATAAATTTAGTGTATTCGTATCCAGCTGAAGTTGACTTTTGTGGTGTGTTTCAAATAAGCGATGGGACATTTGATCACAAGAAAATAACAGAATCTGTTCATAAAGTAGATGTAACTGATAATCCTATATTTATCTTTTATGAACTTGGCTCACAAAATAAAATATCTGTTAACTTGGTTACAAATGATAAAATAGAGAAAGCAAATTTTATTACTGTCGGTGAACAAGATATTTATTCCGAATTTTTGCATATTCGTCTAAGAGGTAATACATATAGTTTTCAATTTTATATATACTTATATAAATAAAATTAATTACATTAGGCGAGGTTCCATTGAAATGTGAGGCCAGTATCAAATCAGTTGAAGAAATGTTTGATAAAGTTAGAAAAACAATGTCTTCTGGTGCAATAATATTTAAAATTGCTAAAACAAATGTCATTCTTTTTGGAAACGAAGTTGAACATGGTTTAGTAGGGGTTAGTGGTCAACCCACTGTGGTAGATATGTGCGAGGAATCTAATGAAATTGTTGAAGGTATACCGAGGAAGAAAAAGACACAAAGTTTTAATTTGGATATTTTAGATGTTAGTATTCTCAAGCGTGTTACAAAAGATGCACAAAATATCATAACAAAGGAACATGCACCATTATGTATATTAGAAAAAAGTAGGTTATATTTCTTAATTCATTTTTCATAGTTTAATATATTAAAAATATATTTTTTTCTAGAACCAGTCCAAGCTCTCGATACAATAGTTTACATCGATTCCCTAGCTATGATCTACCGTCACACAAAAGTAGCTCATCTCTACGAAATTCTCTTGGAATGTGTTATTAGATATTTAAGGTTATATGAACACAATTTAATAAACCATATACTGGATACCCCAGATTTCGCAAAAATCTCACGACTTGAAACATTCCATTTTTACCCCTTAGAGTGTGGACATTTCCTAACGAGGTTGTATCCCAAACACAAGACTGATGAATCATTAAGTAAGTGCAAAAAATGTGTATTTTGATTGTGTTAATTTTTGAGGACCTGCGATAAGTATTTTGTTGTAGAAACTCTACGTCAATTATTACATAAGCAGTTGTTATTAGATGTAGTCACACCAGTGTTTCGTAGGGCAAATCGATATAAATTCAAGTATGAGAGAAGTAACAACAGCCCACTGATTAACCCTCACGAAGGAGTAAAACCTACAGATAATGGTAATTAGAGTAGAACCTTTGATAATATGTCGATTCATTTACATGTGAACTGTTCTGGAATGACTTACGAGTCCGTTATTAGAATGTTATCCTATTTATGATTTTAAGGTGGAGTGGTAGCGTTAGTGAAAGGCAAATATGAGTATTATCATTACTGCCAGAACAAAATGGATGATAACGGTTGGGGTTGTGCATACAGATCCCTCCAAACACTTGCTTCATGGTACAAACTGCAGGGCTACGTCGACAAGGAGGTGCCCTCTTTCACAGACATCCAGAAGTGCCTTGTAGATATAGGGGACAAACCTGCTAGCTTTGTAGGCTCAAAACAGTGGATCGGTTCGACAGAAGTCAATTTCGTGCTAAATACATTACTAGGGATTACTTGTAAGATACTCTACGTCAGTTCCGGGGAAGAAATGGGATCAAAAGGTCCAGAATTGGTGAACCACTTTGAAAATCAAGGATCGCCAATTATGATCGGTAAGACTTTGTTTTTATTGAGTATCACAAATATTCGTACTTTGCTCACAAAATTTGCAATAACGATAACACTACTGAATTCATATTGATTTCCTCCTTTTTGTTACATTACATTATATTAACCATAGGCGGAGGCCAGTAAAGAGTTTAACTTAACATAAGAATATTTCGTTTATATTTATATGTATTTCTAAATACAGAAAAATGTTCAATCTAAGTATTTAAAAATATATGTTTTGGCTGAATGTACAGTCAAAGATCCTTATTTGCGGGAGATACGTTCCAAAAATGTACCACGAATACGGAGCGGCATTTTGTATGGAAATATAGGGGATACGTTCCAAAGTTACAAAATAATAAAAATATATAATAAGTGATTTATTGAGATAAATTTTAACAATTTTAATTTTTATCAGCTGTGCATTATCAATTTGTTTCTTAAAAACAAAACTTATTTCCATAGACGGATCAATTTTTATAAAGAAATAACAAAGCTCATTTGCCAACGGTAAACCTTCACTCATGTTTTTTAAGTTTAACGTCATATTTATCGAAGGCCATAGTGGCACGCAAAAACGAGTGGCGTCAGCGGCAACTTTTGTCAAGGGACTTTCTTCTTCACGGCACAGATTTGCTTGAATATAAATATTTTGATACCTACTTATTTATTTTGACAATTTATTCTAAAAATAGAATATGTATCGTTAGTTTTGGATCCGCTAACATCATTTTATGTCCTGAACCAAAATATTTGGCGTGGCTTTTTTTCCGATGGCAAAATAAGAAATTTGATATTTTTCATGTAGGTAACTATAAAAATTTCACTTCAAAAATCAAAAAGAGAGTTGTAAGTTATTTTAACAAAGCGAAAACTATTAAGCCAGTATATAAATTAAATTATTAATTTTGCTATAAATTATGTTTGTACCATTATTTTATTATAATGGTACAAACACTACTTTCTATTTTGTGTATATAAAAGAATAAAACATTTAATACATATACTGGCTTAATAGTTTTCAATTTGTTAAAATAACAACTCTCTTTTTGATTTTTGAAGTAAAATTTTTATACATGAAAAATATTAAATTTCATATTTTGCCATCGGAAAAACAAAGTGCCACGCCAAATATTTTGTTTCAGGGCTTAAAATGATGTTCAAGTATTGTAGAAACAGGATATCCTATTATTTTGGAGCGGCTCAAAAATTTCATTTAAATTTGCTCAGGAGAACCATGCACAATTTTTTGTTCCGTGAATTTCGAATCCGCAAATAAGGAGCTTTAACTGTATGTAGGTAGATGGCATTATTGTCATGTTCAAGGTATACGAAATATTTTTTTGTTAAATTGAGCCCTTTATCCATCTCATTAAATTATTTTTTCCTGTTGTAATGAGCTTTTTTAATTGTAGGCGGGGGAGTTCTTGCACACACAATACTGGGAGTAGATTACAATCAACAAACGGGTAGCATAAGGTTTCTTATATTAGATCCGCATTATACTGGGGGCGAGGATCTGCATACAATACAAAGTAAGGGTTGGTGCGGTTGGAAAACTGTTGATTTCTGGGATAAAAGTGCCTATTACAATATGTGCTTACCTCAGGTTCCTAGAGATATTTAGGTATTATGCATTTGTTTTAAGTGTAATTAATTTGTTTTGGTATTCCTGTTAAGCCACTTTGAAATTAATTTTGTCTTATTTAGGCCACAGATCAGTTATTTAATCTTTATGATTCAAAATAAATGTGATTATTTTGAAGAAATAACATTACGTTGGGGTTGGTAGTTTTATTTAGTTGTTATTTATTATAAACTTCAAATCATCACTCTCGACTTCTAAAAATAACTGAATTTTAAATATAGTCACAATAAACATTGTTTACAAGACGAGGCACTTTTTTATTTCTATTCTAATAAATATGTAATACACACAATTGTTTCACTAAAAACACTAACCCATTGTCAATAAAATTGTCTTGAAGATCGTTCAAAATTCATAGTCAAAAATTAATATCTATAAGAAGTAATTTCCAAACCGTTCTTTACCATTTCTGCATCAATCCAGTCTCTAAACAACGAAACTTTTACGTACACATCGGGAACATCCTCTCCACATCCAATACCCCACGAGACAATTCCTGCTTGGTGATACCTATAAAATGAAATTAAATTTTTTAAGACTATTCCGCGTGCTTATACAGGGTGTCCTCCCTGGAACTGCGTCGATCGATGTCTAGGAAAGTACTGTTTCGAAAAATTTGAAAATTTGGCAACATGTCAGTGTCCCTGGGGGCGAACACAACTAAAATATCTAGAACTCTCCAGTACTTCCGGTTATATCGGAAGTCGCCACCAACTTCGTTATTTTAAATGGAACACCCTATATTTTTTTTACTCTGTCGTATGCAGATTGAAATTTCTTTTCAAACCATATAATCATTGTTAGGCTGGCTGTTACTACTTTTAGAGATATTTGCAATTTTCTACTTTTTGTACAGTTTTTCTCGTATCAGACCTGTTGTCAAACAGGCCATGACCAGAAACACTCCAAAAACAATTGAAATAACATGACATTTGTCAAGTTAGTTGTCAAATTGTTATTATGTCTGAATAGTTTTTGCAGAAAATTTAAATAAAAATGCCTGGGGATCGTTTAAATTATACTAACGAGGATTATTTTAATTTATTTGTCATTTATGGAAAATGTGACAAAGTGATTTCATGAATCTGCTGCTTTGTTCCATATATAACAAACAAATCAAAATAATCCTTTTTATAAGTTTAATTTAAACGATCCTGCTGCATTTTTATTTAAATTTTCAGCAAAAACCTATTTACAGACATAACAATAATTTGACAACTACCTAACTTGACAAATGTCAGGTTATTTTAATTGTTTTGGAGTGTTTCTGGTCATGGCCAATTTGACAAGTCTGGACAAGTCTAATACGAGAAAAAGTGTTCAAAAAAATAGAAAATTGCAAATATCTCTAAAAGTAGTAACGGCAACTCTAACAATGCCTATATGGCTTGAAAAGAAAATTCAATCTGCATACGACAGAGTAAACAATACAGGGTGTTCCTTTTAATATAACAAAGTTATAGCTGTTTGAAATTATCAAAATGTAACAGCAAAAACAAAACACCTAGTATTAATTGTTTTAATTTATTGGTATACCATAATTTAGCATTACCTATGCCCTTTACAGGTACCAAAAATCCACTTGATATCACCCTCCTGAGATGAGTTACTAGCATCTCCGCGAACCCTTGACATCTGTCAAATCTTTTCTTTAAAAATTAATATCTCAAAATCTATAACTCCTACGTATAGAGAATATTTAATAAAGTGACCCTCATATTTCACGTAGAATCCGAAAATGCAATAATAGGGTGTCCCATTTAAAATAACGAAGTTGGTGTCGACTTCCGGTATAATCAAAAGTACTGGAGAGTTCTAGATATTTTAGTTATGTTCTCCCTACGAATATTGCCATGTTGCAAATTTTTCGGAGTAGTACTTTCCTAGATATCTATCGACTCAGTTCCCGGTGGTACACCCTGTATATAGGGTATAACTAAGTGGAGGTCCGTATTTTACAGTAATAGTTTGTTCCTCTGAATATTAATCTGAAGGTATATTTTTTTATATCAAATGGATAGCCGAAATATATTTCGTTTTTTAAACTGCACTTACTCTCTCGTCTCTTGTCTACGCCGCTACTGGACAGCTCCAGAACTCAGTTGTGTCTGCGTACTTATCAGTGCTGTCTGTTATTACTTTTTTAAACTAACAGTATAAAAATAACTGAGTGATAGAGAGCAAACAGCAATGGGAAATAGTTTTGCAAAAACAATGGTCCATCTAATTGTTGAGATTGCCCATAGTTTTAGGGGAAGTTGGGCCACCACGGATCGACATCATCATCAAATCTAAAAGGTGTCTCAAAACGAGGCAATTCTTAGCTTAAACTGTTACAATAATGGTAAATATAATAAACAATGGGGAGTATGAAAATTACAAAAAAAATTTTAAAAATTAAAAAATATCTATTTCCAAAAATCAAAGGTAAATATGACCTCTGTTCAAAGTTATACCCTATATAATATAGTTGACAAACAGTCAACCTTGGAAATTAAAATATTTAATGGCGTCTTTCCCATAAAATCACCTGTGTTCATGGTATAAATAAGCATAGCAGGAATTTTATGGGAAAGCCGCCATCCAGTTATTTTCCTTGCCAAGTTTGACTAATTATATTATACATAAACAATGCTATTGCAAAAAGTAAGTATTTGTACTTCTGTGTCACTAAACTTGAATTAGGAATATCCTAATTTCTGACCTAAAGTATCAGCAATTATGGTTTAACAAACGTGCCAATAAATAGTCACACATACCTCTTCGGTTGACCCGGAACTGGACACACCAATGGACTACCACCATCGTGTGCACATGTATTTCTCTGGTTTTCTGTAACAGCACATAAAAAACTGTTATGTAGTCGAAAGAATAGACCCAAGCGGGTAGCACGCAACAGTTCGAGACATTTGTCTTTAGGAATAATAGTAACTTTAAGCATTTTAAGATACACTTCGTCATTTTGATCAGCTGCTCTTGAAATTATCCTGCACTGGGAATTATCTAAATTCATTCCTTGAGGTGGTATGCATATTGAGTTGATTTTTTCGGAAATTTCAACAGGTTCTTTTAAAATGGCAAGGGCTATGTCGTTTTGCATTGTCTCTTTGTTGTATTCTGGATGGATAATAATTTTAGATATTTCTCGAACTGTGTTACCTTGAATAAAAAGCATTACGTCAAAATTTTGTATTGTAATAAAATTTAAAAAAACCACGAATAGTAAGCAGTAAGTTTGATAAGAACAAATGGAATTCTACCTATCCGAGCAGACCAAATTCCATCCTCATTTATGCAATGGGCTGCTGTAAGAATGACACTTGAGTGGACTAAGGAAATCCCACATTTATAGGAAGGAGAAAAATCTGTTGACTTTTGATAAAATAATGCTGCATACCAGGGAAAAAATCCAGAATTTTGGTATCCACAACCGTGATATTTCTCGGGGGCTTCTGTAGAAGGGAAAAGAACTTCTTTCGAAATGTTACAGCAGACATCAAAGTAACCCAGACAAGGCGTATTTTCCACTATTCTAAAAAATATATGATATGTAAATTAACCATATATGTAAATTGATGCTTAGAACTTGTTAATTAGCGTACAGGGTGGTCCTTAAGTATATTCCAATTTTAAGGAGGGCGATTCTTTAGATCATTTAAGGGAAAAAGTTCCTATGAACTTATGTAGTAAACCTATCTTAATTTTGACATAAACGATATTAGAGTTTTGTAAAATATGTCTATACTTAATGATTTTGAGGGCATTTAAGTAGATTAATAAAAACTTGGGCTGGTGACACAAATAAAAGAAAAAGAAATTAATAAAATTTATAGGGATATTCAAATAACGTTCCACTATCATCTTTTTTTTACCTTTCTATCTAGGAGAAAATAGTAAGTAGCAGTTAGAAAATTTTCTTCTTATTTTAAAGAAATATATAAAAAAAACAATTGACTGGTGTGTATCGAGACAATAGTTTTAAAATTAGCCTTTATTTATTCATATTAAATAGGCTAATCAAATTTCCAAAAGATCCGGTAGTGTCGAAATTTTGAAGTTCTTAGTGACTACTTTCCGAGTGTCTCTGCTATTATAGTTGCAACTGCATAGAAAACAGGCGAACTCTTTTGAAATCCGCCTAAGTTTCATTAAATCGCGTTAAACACTTTTCGAGATATTAACGTAGATGTGATAAAACCTTAACGCACCATTTCTATGCCATTAAGGTATAGTCACAGAAGATAGTTGTTTTATCTTCTGTGGTATAGTTTAAAATATGGTAACCAGAATTTAGAAATTGGTAATTGGTTAGGAGCACATAGTATTAGTTTTAGAATAAAGAAGGATAATCTTCCTCAAAGGAAGACGTTTCGTCATTTTACTATATGGTCTAAAGTATTTAGCTGCAAACTAATTAAGTTCATTTATTATTGAAACGTACGTAATTATAAGGACCGCCATGTCAGCATGTATTTTGTCTCAGCTCTAATTTAAATAAAAGCTATCCATATATTATTATTACCTGGGATCGAACAACCCTTTGCCATCTGTAAGTAAATCTCCAGATTCATGCGAACATTGATAATAAGGAACGCAGGTGCAATTTTGTTCTGGTTCATTCTTGATGTCTATAGTGATTTTTCCAAAAGAATCAGAAATTAAAGATACTATTAAAATAATAACGCAAATTTTCCCCCACTCCATACTTCTACATGAAAAAAACTAAGTATTTTGCAAACTATTTCTGTTATAATTTCTTGATATGTCATAAGCATTCCAGGTTTACTATCTATTTAATAAATATATCGGACGGCCATCACCAATTTTGATCTAAAATTTAAATCCACCTGATTCCTTTTTTAATAAATTATGTAGTAAAATATATATTCTTACCTGTTTAATCGTCCTAGCAACTCAAACGGCACCTGTATCAGTGTATCAAAAGGAAAAAAGTTCGAAATCGGCAACGTAAAGAAATGAACGTGGTTCTAAAAAAAATGTAAACAAATTTTCAAATTTGTTTTTTGACACCCTCTATAACCTTGGAATGAGGCGGTCTGCAGAACCGGCCTTTAAATAGGGCGAATCTTTTAATTATCTTGTTTATTCAACTTTTAAATTAAATTGTTATTTTAGTTAGATTTACAATTTATCTTCGGTGAAAAAAAAATTTATAGTATTTTTTAGTTGTAGTTTTATGTTATTAAAATTATAGTTTTATTTAAATTAATATATTCGAGTTTTGGAAATGGAAATTCTGAATAGAAACTGTATTGTGATAAAATTGAAACCATCTGAATCCTATCTTTTGAACTAAAAATTATTGTAATACTGTATAAGAACTACATAAAACAAATACTGTATTGAATCATGAAGCTGTATTGAATCATAAATTAAGCTGTATTGAAATCACGAAACTGTATTGTACTGAAATCATGAACTGTTGAATCATGAATGTTGAAATCATGAAAGATGAAATACTGGAACTAAGTATAAATACTTACCTATTTCAAAAATGTGTTGTTTATTCCTCGAACTCTTCATTATGGTTTTTTACAGAAATATTCGTTCTCAAAACCAATATGTACCAAAAAAAAAATCTTAATATCATTAAACTTCTCTTTGTAAAAGCCCACATTTTGTTTTATTAGTACTACCTAATTTAATGATCTTGAAATATGTATTTCATTGGAATTAGAGCATTTTTATTGCTACTATAAACTGGATTTCCCAATAATGTAACATATGTACTAATTTATTAACTTATGTGGTTTTTTTCTTCAAATTAAAATTCATTCCCACAATATAAAAAACAGTTTCCAACATAGGTATGTGGAACAAATCATGAAGTAATATTTTTGACCACATAATTAATTCACTTAATTTCTACACATAGAGGTTGAATTTATCAACATAATTAAATTAGTATTAAAATACTACTTTTATTGTAAAGGCATATTATCCTACGTATTTTAGCTATTCTAAATTTAGACAAATTTTTTTAATTATTGATTGTAGGTATAACTGTGCATTTGTCCTTGCTGTAATAAATACTAATATTTTTTAAATACTATTAATGAAAACAATACTTGTAGTTTTTAATTTATACCCATGAATCAACATTTCAAGGGAATATTTACTAATATTCCATATTTCTAATTTTTTTACAAAGCTGCGGGTTTACCCACCCGAAAAAGCACAAATATTTTTGTAGACTATTGTAATAATCTGAAATTACTGTTTATGAATATGAATCGTACAGCACAGAAAAGCTTGAAACTGACAAACAAATATTACCCAATTAAATATCAAGGAAACCTTACAAAACTTGTCTAGAATAAATATAAACACTTAGAACTCCAAACAATGTAGGTAAGAGAAAGCTGACATTGTACTGTTAAAAATGCACTTGAGGTAACTATTTAACCTTAGAACCTTCAAGAAAACTTCAATCATGCATGAAGCTCTGTAAAATCTTAATTTTCAATTATTACTACATACGATTTTTTACGGCACCTACCTAAATACTTTTACGTATATAAATGGAATTTAGCAAATCTTGTTTATTATCCTAGTTAGCCACTGTTCGCATAAACATGTTGCGGCAAACGATTCTGCTGTTTTTTGTACTGCTTCTAGTAAACTATGCACAATGCTTTAAGATTATCGGTAATTTAGAAGCACCAGAATCAGGACTGCAAAAAAAATTTGAAAAAGGAGGCGGTGAGCAGTTCGAACTTGCTAAGCATGCAGTTAAAGGTGAAGAGGGTGACAAGGGATACGTATCGCAACATGCTGAAGAAAAGGGCGCTAAAGGACTACATGACAAAGAGGACCATCAAAAACAATATGCTGAAACTGGTACGTAATATAATATTATTAACATAAGAAAAACTTAATTCTTTCGTACTTTAATTTTAGCTGGTCAGAAACAAGCGCACAACCACGACGATGGTTACTACGCAGAACAGCACAAAGCCGAAGAAGGTGAAAAAGGTTACCACTTCGAAGATAAAGGCAGCTACGCCAAAGGTCATGATACCAAGGGTCATCACAATGTCCACAAACTGAATGAATACAAGAAAAAGACAGAGTTCTACGACGAAGACCATGACGAAGCTCACAAAGAAAAACACGGTGGTTTTGAAGCGTCCAAATCAGAAAATTCGGGTGGATTTGAGAAAGGTGGGCATGGTAAAAAAGTGTATTTAGAAGGTAAATTCGGCAAAGAAGCAAAGTATGACAAAGGGCATGAATTGCACGAAGATAAAGGATTTAGTAAGGCGGAAGGGGAAGATGCCTTTTATAAAGGCGAAGCCAATTATGCAAAGAAGAATGCAGATGAAGCTTTTAAGAAATTTGGGTATGTGAAAAAGGGCGACATTTAATTGACAGGGTCAAGTTCTGGAAAAGGAATTAGATGTACGTCATGTGTAAAGCTTCTTAAGCAGAATATATAAAAATTGTTTACAAAGTAAACAGAATCATTTCAAAAAGTTTATCTAGAGAAAATAAAACACATAATTTTTGAATAAACAGAAAAAGATAAAAAGAATAAACTTTACGAAATAGTACTCTTTCATTAACTCGCATTATTCATCATTAATCATCCATGTTTTAGGAATCCAGTTTTACTGAAAAACCAATTTCAATAGATATTGTATATACATCATCGTTACTATGTTGTTAAAGTTACTTCATTCCACATCTTAGTAATTAGTTTTAATTTATTTTGTTGCATATTGTGATAAAATTAATTTAATAAATATGTATTAATAATTGAATGTTCATTAACTATTAATTCGTTATTTATTTTTGAAATAACAAATCTAACGTGTCATAATAATCCCATAAGATAAATTCACAATCTAAATAATCTAGTTTGAACTGAAAAATTGTTTTTCCAAATAAGATAAAAAAAATCACTTTTACTGTTTTATGTTTCTTTGATTTTAATCAACTTAACAATTTACAATACAGAACTTTAATATAACCAAAAAATGTTAACATTAAAAACTGAAAATTTGAATATTTTATAAATGGCAATTCGAAAATGTTTGAAAAAAATGCATTTGACTCTTTATTTTGAACACCAATCTAAGCACCTAATCAGCTGGAGAATTTTACATACTTTTTGCCTTCACAGGCCCCACGGAACTTAGCAAATTCTAGCAAATGCATATCACAGAAAAAACTACATGCAACATTAATATTTTTTAAGCGTTTTCCTAATTAACGCAATTCTTTGCTTATGAGCCTCAGTAGTTAAACTGCGTTTATAGGGCCTGAGCTCATCAGTTCCAAAGCCAGGAGTCCACATATTATAGTTACGATTGAGGAATTGCTGAACGTCTTTTACTTCAATAGTATTAACATGTCGATTTTTTGCTATTAAGGCTGCACCATTCAAGCATCGATCTATAAATTCGTCGACATAATTTAAAATGATTTCTTCTACCTCTTCCTCCAAATTCAAGGTTTGATCGGTTTCTCGAACAAGATCTTGAAGTCTTTGTTTTGTTAGAACTTGTAATGGTTCATTTGAACTGATGTTCTGCTGGACTGTCTTTACTGGGGTTGCATTTTGAACTGGTACTGTTTGCACACCCACTAAATTTGTACCTAAAAATTATGTATGAATATTATATAATATTTAATGGAAACTGTCTAAAATGAAGTTAATGGCACATACCTCCAACTGCATCCATAATTGTCAAGCTTCCCTTAATTTCACCACTTTGGTCCGTTGAATTCACATGGGAAACAGCATTTACTACTGGAATTCCATTGTTAGCATTCACATTTGTCATAATTGCATGAGACAAAGGCACCTGATTTATAACAATATTCTGGGGCTGCATTATACTATTTGTTAAATTAGGAACAGACATATTGAGAAAGTAGGTACCACTTCTTGACTTCTTTTACAATTTTTTTATGTTGAGTTTTTATGATAGAACCAATTAGAACAATATGCTATACATTAGTGCCCAGTGACTACTTACTATTAAAAATGTTTTTATTGTAGTAAATCCGCAAATAGTAAATTATACTTGATTTCACTATTTGACAACACAAATCACAAAACAAAACAACAAAGCACAAACTAAAAACTAAATTACTGTCAAAAAAAATTACCAAAAAATGTCAAGTCAAACGTCAAACGACATATATAATCCTCGTCTTCTTCTACTTTCCTTGTAATTTGAATTCCTAATATACAAAATACCTTTTTGATAATTTAACGATCAAGGAAGTAGTTAATATTTTTCCTTTTACCTGTTACATTCCATTATGGAGCAAAGTGTAAATCTACAATAGTGAAAGACGTATTCCAATTATTTGGATTAATAAAGGGTCAAACAATAGAGCAGCACTTCACAGCAGTTATCAGACAATTGGAAAGCAGCTAGTTGTAGTTACTTGATTCTTTCGAAACGAAAGTAACTAATTGTCATATGTAACAAATTAAAGTTAGAGTTATGTGGTTATGTTATTGATTTGTTTATGTTCTTTCTCTGTGTCTTTTTGTGTAGGTGCACCTAATGTCAATAGTATTTAATGTTCTAAATGTAGTGGGTACATATGTAATTTAGAATTAAAATACAGTTAGTGGGTGTATTTGTATTAATATAATTAAAACCGCAACATCGAAAAATATAGCTGACTGTATAGAAACATTTACAGAAAATAAAGCAAAATGAGTAACCTTACAACAGCAGATGTTAGTGCTTTAACTTTAGAAATAGGGCCCTTTGAGACTGTTCATCGATGGAAGCGTATGCCAGAATGTGATGAATTTGTTGGTGCTAGGTAAATGACCAATAAACAGCCTTGAAGGGATATTTTAATAATATACAATATCATTTTCTAGACGCAGTAAACACACTGTAGTGGCCTATAAAGATGCAATTTATGTTTTTGGAGGTGATAATGGAAAAAGTATGTTGAATGATCTTCTACGTTTTGATGTAAAAGAGAAAAGCTGGGGAAGAGCTTTTGCAACTGGTACTCCACCTGCGCCAAGGTATTAATAAGTTCATTAGCTCATATGAAGATAATAAATTAATATACTTGGATGACTCGACATATTTGGCTTCCAATGTGGAATTTTTTTAGATATCATCACTCTGCAGTGGTGCACAACACATCAATGTATGTTTTTGGAGGATATACTGGAGATATTCACTCTAATTCAAACCTTACCAATAAAAATGATTTGTTTGAATATAAGTTCCATTCTGGGCAGTGGGTAGAATGGAGATTTATGGGAAAAACTCCTGTACCAAGATCAGCTCATGGCGCTGCTATTTTTGATAATAAATTGTGGATATTTGCTGGTTATGATGGAAATGCTCGATTGAACGATATGTGGACGATATCTCTAACTGTAAGTATACATATTTAGAGTTATTGATTAATAAAAAATGTAATACTTTTTATTTTCATTATGTAATCCAATCGTTAAAGAATATTTTACATTAACATATCTTGTAAGGGCGATGTGAGAAGCTGGGAGGAAGTTGATCAAAAAGGGGAATGCCCTCCAACTTGTTGTAACTTTCCTGTGGCTGTAGCACGAGATTGTATGTTTGTATTCAGCGGACAGAGTGGGGCAAAAATCACAAATTCCTTGTTCCAGTTCAGATTTAAGGAGAAAACGTAAATAACAATCAATTTTCCTTTCAAAGTTGTAATTACAATAAAATTTCTAGATGGACGAGAATATCTACTGAACATATTTTGAGAGGAGCCCCCCCACCTCCAGCCAGACGTTATGGACATTCAATGGTAGCTTTCGACAGACATTTATATGTGTTTGGAGGAGCAGCGGATGCGACACTTTCCAATGATCTACATTGCTTTGATTTAGACTCTCAAACTTGGTCAGTAATTCTACCAGATGTGGAATCATTCGTACCATCAGGTCGGTTGTTCCATGCAGCTGCCGTTGTTGGAGATGCAATGTTTATTTTCGGTGGGACGGTAGATAACAATGTTCGTAGCGGCGAAATGTACAGGTATTCGTGAATAACATATTTTACTTTTAATCAGTCGCTATTGAACTTATAATTCTTTTTAGGTTTCAGTTTTCAAGTTATCCAAAATGTACATTACATGATGATTATGGAAAACTGCTAGAGTCACGATTGTTTTGTGATGTACAGTTCTTGGTTGGTCCTGAGGAAGAAAAAATTTTAGGGCATTTGGCGTTAGTAGCTGCTAGGTCTGCATATTTAAGGAATAAAATTCGACAAGCGAAAGAAAATCGTGATAAACATTTGGAAAGATTATTTGGTAAATTAAGTTTTCTTTTCTATTTTTAGTTGAGGAAAATGTATTATTTAGAAAGATCGACTTTATGATGTGAACTTGAATCTAGTAGTAGTAATTTGCAGTCGAAATAAGTGTTCCTCGGGGATCTAATCTTGGACCCCTATAATTTTTTATATTTATTAATGACCTTACAGAAGTAATCAAACGTAATAAGCTACTCTTTGCCGATATTTAAAAATTTATTGGAATGCTGAAAGTATTAACAACTCTGTGTTTTTATAGTTAGTTAATTTTGGTCATATAAAAATTATTTCATGAAAAAAACAACTTTTGACGGATCCTTTTTTGCATTAGAATTAATTTCATCGAACCAAATAAACAGAGACTTTTTGTTTAGGAACATCGAAAGTTCCCTTCAGCGATATCCCACTCCTCGAAGTCAAGCTACCTGATGCTGATCCAGAAGCATTCGAGATGGTCTTGAATTACATCTACATGGACTGTATAGATCCAACTAAGAAAGCGAAGGATGGGGAGGATCCATTTTCAAACCGAATAGTTCTCAGAATGATGGACGTTTATCGCCTAGCTGTACAGTTCAATATGGCTCGTCTGGAACACCTTTGCGTACAGTATCTAAACGCCACGATTTGCTTGAAAAATGTACTTGTAGCTTTACATAACGCTGACCACCTCCAATTAGATTTTATAAAGGAACACTGCTTGAGATTTATCGTTAAGGAAAGTAATTACAATCAGATTGTGATGAGTTCCGAGTTCGAGATATTGGAAAGAAGTTTAATGGTGGAGATAATAAGAAGGAAACAGATGCCGCAGTATAAGGTAGTGAACTTATTAAGTGATTTAATTTAAATATTTTCCGTTTTATTCTTTAGGCCAACAGTGAAACTCACTTCGACGCTGCTGGATGTTCACTCGAGCAAGACATGGCGATGTTTCTTCGAGTTACAGGAAAAGAATTTTGCGACATCGACCTAAATTTGGATGGAACTCTAATTCCTGCCCACAAAACAATTTTAGCAGCGAGATGTGGGTACTTCGAAGCTATGTTTAGGTCATTTATGCCTGCTGACAGCAAAGTTAATGTAAGTGATGAAATTTTTTATAATTTACTTAGAGTGACCTGGACTTGGATATATGAAAGCTTGTTTAATTTACGTTTTAGATCCAAATAGGAGAAATGATACCCTCCAAAGAATCTTTCGACTCTCTCCTTCGTTACATCTATTATGGAGACGTCAACATGCCTCCAGAGGATTCTCTGTACCTGTTCTCCGCTCCGTTTTTCTACGGCTTCTCGAACAACCGTCTACAAGCTTTTTGCAAACAAAACTTAGAGATGAACGTCACTTTTGAAAATGTTATTCAGATACTGGAAGCAGCGGACAAGATGCAGGCTACCGACATGAAAAAATACGCCCTGGACCTAATCGTTCACCATTTCACCAAAGTAGCCAAGCTGCCGAGGCTGAGGATGCTGAGCAAAGAGCTGATTTTGGATATCCTGGAAGTTCTAGCAGAAAGCCTGGATATAAACATGAGAAATGACGTGTCTAGTGGCGCTCTAAATTCCGATACTTGATTTACAAAATTAAGAAGGGATCTAAGCTTGTCTCTGGGGAGAGTCTCCTTCATTTTGTTTACTGTTATATCTGTGATTATCGACCTCAGTTTTATAGAGAAGTTTTTTGTAGATTGTGAATGATAACGATGTATTATGCTTCCTTTCAAACGAGATAAATGGACCAAATAGTTCAAATAACGACTCGTATATACCTCCACTGTTAAGGCTAAACTCTGTGTATCTTTATAATGAGAATAAATAAAAAATGTACAGTTTGAAATTAAAATGTTATAAAAGTAATTGTGTCTTCAATACTTATTACTATTCTGGATAATATGCATTGCTTATACCTACATGGTTAAGGACTTAAAAAAGTTAAATCTTTATATGGCTTTAGCAAATGTTGCAGTTTCAAAGGAAAAATACCTATTGTAATATTTTCTGTCCGGAGTGGTTAATGGTTAAAGAGAAGAAAAATGGTATATTAGCCGTTTTCTTTTGCTCTCAACTTTGAATCAGGATCAGACAAACACGAACTCAAACTAGATCCATGAATCCAATTTCGAAGACGACAGGATTTTGCTTACTATTGACATTTGATTTTCTTTTAAATATCGTTTAAGTATACCTATTCTTCTGTGCACAATTAAAATAAAAATAGTAGTCTATTATATATTTTGTGTTTGTGATAGTAGCTGCCCTCTTAGCGAAAAAAGAAACCTCCACAATTTTAAGGTTATATTAAATATGTATGTGATGTGATCGTTAGAGAGCGGACTATAGGTCTGTTCCAACAACCAACAAGAGTCAGGGATTGGTTCCAAACCGTCAGAAATGTGCATCCAACTAATTCTTGCGATATATTCACTGCAGACACATTTAGAATTTAGCTGGCCAAACATTTCGAACGGTTGGGAACCAATCCCTGACTCTTGTTGGAACAGACCAAATGTGTGTCTTTATTATCCTCGCGAAGATTTGTACCCTTTATTTAAAATCCATAAATCATGTGAACAGGTTAAATAACGAGAAAATAATTAAGTTAATTTAGTAGAAATGAAATAAATGACACACGCGCCCGTCTCTAGTCAATCCGTCGACATCGGTTACGTTTATCGAATTCCTATTGGTCAGAATTTAAACTGCAGCCTTGTTATGAATGGGGCGGGAGTTGGACTATTCTATCATGTGCGTCGCCTGAGGGTATTCGTTACGTTAACTCCTAATTTCCAATTAAAAGAACGACACTATTTTTTACCGAACTTTATTTAATAAATATGTAGTATACAATTTCTGATTTTCTAAATATTTTATAACGCCTAAAAATGTATGTACCGTGGAATTTTTGTGAATTATCACGTAAATTTCCGATGCATACCCAACACGCCACTGCGTCATGTATAATGTCTCCCTCTCTCTCTCTTTCTCTCTCTCTCTCTCTCTAAACCTCCGCTACACTCTCTTGGCCACTGGGACGCTGCCTCCAGTAGTATATTATGCTCTTAGATCCATCCATACATTCATTCGAAAATAATTAATTATTTCCAAAATTTTAATTTCAAAAAAGTTCTCTTTGTGGGCCTGGAAATTATCCCTTAACAAAATGGATCTCTCATGTTTATAAATATATTTATTTCAATTCTGGAATGTGTAAATTTCCTGTCAATTTCTATGAAAATATGATTACATGTCAGGGCAGGTCTTAAAAATGTTAGTAATAATAAAATAATAAAAAGAAAACACAAAATTATTAGAAGATTTTGTTTATTATAATTATTATCTGAAATATTGTCAAAGTTTACCGCAATACTATAAAGAATTTTGTCTGTAATGTTAAATTTTATTAATTCTAATTTTGGAGATATTTAATATTGCTGAAGATGCTGTAATTACTATTATTTACATCAAATAACTGAAATATGAAACTGGACTTTTTAGATTCAATAATATTTGTTTATTATAGAGTAAGCTAATTTAACGAGAAATTCGAAAGTACAATAATATACAGGGTGCTTCATTTGAGAAATTGAAGTTAGGTAAGGCTCAGAAGAAATAGAACGCCCTGTACAACGATTTGATGCAACTTTTAATTGAAGAAACATTTTTTGTATTATTGATATTATCAGAGCTATGAAAAGGAGATACCGTGTGTATTCCTCTGGTCATTCAGTTCAAATTCAAACATATTTTTTTTAAATGAGGAGACGTATATTTTTCAAATTTTGAGAGCTGCTTTTATTTTTACTTTTGGAAAAACCAGAAGTATAATTTCTGGACAACGTTAGTTATTATACATCACTGCATTCTACCTAAAGAATGGAAAAAAAAACTTACAAAAATTACAAATTTTTACAATTAAATAAGTAATTTCACATAATGAAAAACGAAACAAAGTATTGAAATGTAGATTTTAACATTCAATTTTTAACTACTAAATTGGCCCACTCTGTAAAGACCATTAACATTGTAAACACGAGTTTTTTATTTATTAGATGTTACAGATCAGTACTGTTATAAATTGGGACACGATGTATATAGAAAAAAAACATATCGGTTAATATGTTTATGGAGTTTAGAACTACAGGCTTCAGGAGCCTGAATTTCTTAAAAAAAATAATTAACAGTTTTAATATATATTGAGAATCATGTCACCAAAACGAACTGTTTTTTTTTTTTGAGTAAGATATAGTAGTTTGAGTTCGTAAACCTGTTTTGTCCACAACAATAACATATTTTTTAATATTATAAACAAACTTACAACTTACTGAACAAATTTTAATCTATCCCCGATTATTCCCTGTGTTTGAATTGATTTGGAAATTAAAAAATATTGCCCAACAGATTGGAAAATATTAACATTCCGTTATCAAAGGTAATGTTTTATTTTTTTATACTGTAAATAGACTAAGACTTTTTGAGAGTTTATCATAATGTCTAACCTTTGCAAGATAAAATTTATTTATACAGCAACACAGCTATTTACAATTAATTTTAATTCAAATTCAAAGAAAGAGGTGTTAAGATTATTTTTCCTTCCAAGTTATAATATCAAGTTATTATCACAGCTGTAAATGGTAAGGAATAACATTTTTATATATTTTTTGTAATGGAACTGATGCAACGATAATAATAACTTGATTTCGTATAGACCAACGTAGGATACCAACATTATATTTAAAAAGCTATATTTTATAAAACTGTAGAAAAATATACATATTACAGATAAACAAATAAATTAAAATCTTAAAATATAACTAAAGAGTAGGAACTTATATTTTGATAACAAAATTTCTATAAGAAAGTACGGTTTTTCATATAATCTTTAATTAGGTAACTATTGTTAACAATCGAATCACTTATTAAATAGTCGCACACTTTTTAATGTGACTTAGAACAAAACGACTGTATTTATCAATCACACAAATTTCGTAATAACATACAACAATTATAATTTCGCGTGATTTATTTCTACTTCATACAAAAACAAAATAACATGTTTGTTTAATTAATACGAAAGCAAATATATGTTAAGAAATGTTCTAGTTTAAATACAAAATTTAAGTTAAAACAATACTCTTTTAACAAAAAATACATATATATATTTTTTGTTAATCCATTCCGTGTCACCTTCTAAGTCTTATTGGACGTGATAACAGTTGTTTAGGTAAAGCATTCTTATAATAATGGATATTAAAAAAAGGTAGGTAACATTCAAAGTGAGAAAACATACTTCTAATCAGGCTGAGATAACATCTTTACTCTTACTGTAATAGGGTAGATCTGAACTCAAATTTGGTGAAATAGGTAGGTCAAAGAAATTCTTATTTCTTCAGTATGACTCAAAAATATATATCGGCCAGTTGGGATCAAATGAATAGAAATTAATGGGTTTCTGCTCTGAAATAAAAATAAAAACATCTGTATTTATCGAAAATACGCCATCATAGTTGCGTTTTCCCTACCTAGGTAGCTAATATTTTACTTGGGAGATATTTATCTAGTCCAGAAGTCCGCGAAGGTGCCACATATTATTATTTTATAGGTTCCTGAATTAAACCAACTAAAATAGGATAGCATAAATGACTGCACAATTAAATTCGTTTTCAGGAAAATCATAAGCTATGGGGTGGAAGATTTGCGGAAGCTACCAGTCCATGTTTGGAAAAATTAAACCGCTCCATAGACCTAGACAAGCGGCTGTACGAAGAAGACATAGAAGGTAGCAAAGCCTACGCCAAAGCGCTTCTAAAGATCAAATTATTGACTGAGGACGAAACCGAAGCCATATGCGATGGGTTAGACATAGTAAAAGTAGAATGGAAAAAGGGTATATTCAACATATTACAAGGCGACGAAGATATACACACTGCAAATGAAAGGCGATTAAAAGTAAGTTCTAGTTAAAAAAATGTATTTTATTGCATTTTTATGATATCTTGAAGGAGTTAATAGGAGCTCCAGCTACTAAACTACATGTTGGGAGAAGCAGAAATGACCAAGTTGTAACTGACATGAAATTATGGATGAGATCGAATTTAAGGTTGTTAGATGAACATTTAAGAGGGCTTATATCAATAATAGTGCATAGAGCGTCGCATGAACTTGAAGTTATGATGCCTGGATACACTCACCTGCAAAGGGCACAACCTGTTAGATGGAGTCACTATCTCCTGAGGTATACAAGGAATACATTTTTGTCAAAAGAAAACATTATTTTTAGTAGGTACTTTTTACAGTCATGCATGGAATTTAAAGAACGATAGTGACCGACTGGGAGAGATTTTGAAGCATACCAATATAATGCCTTTGGGCAGTGGGGCTCTGGCAGGCAACCCTTTCAATATTGATAGACTGAGCCTAGCAGCCGCCTTGAATTTCGATGATATCACACAAAACAGCATGCAAGCAGTCAGTGACAGGGACTTTATAGGTTGGTACCGTACTAGAAGTGACTAAAATTAATGATATGATTGAATTTCAGCTGAGTTTCTGTTCTGGGCATCCGTGGTTGGGATTCACCTCAGCAGATTAGCAGAAGATCTCATTATTTATAGTTCTAAGGAATTTGAATTTGTCACTATTGGCGATTCTTATTCCACTGGTAGCAGTCTGATGCCTCAAAAAAGAAATCCAGACAGTTTGGAGTTAATAAGAGGAATTGGTGGTAGTTTATTCGGTCAGGTAAAAAAATATAATTGATTTAATAATTGACATGGTATAATCAGGTAAAAATATAACTGACATACGAGATAAATTTTATAAATAATTTCTAAGGGTCAAATAAATAGTGTTGCAGCTTCATAATGGTGCTGAAGAGCCTGCCCTCCACCTACAACAAAGACCTTCAAGGCGACAAAGAGGCCATGTTTACCACTTTCGACAAGCTAACTTCCATTCTGGAAGTCACAGCAGGGACTGTAAAAACCTTGAAGGTGAATCCAGGGAAATGCAAGTCTGCTTTAAGTTTTGAAATGCTCGCCACTGATGTTGCTTATTACTTGGTGAGAAAAGGAGTGCCCTTTAGGGAAGCTCATCATTTGGCAGGGCAGGTCGTAGCTGCGGCCGAGGAGAAAGGGGTTAATATCTGCGATTTGACTTTGGAGGAATTGAAATTAATTAGGTAAAATGTATTCAGCACGTTCCTTAACGGTTTTTGGAAACGCCATTGCAATTTACACCGATAATGTAAAAGTTAGTTTTGTTTTCAATTAATTGTTGTTGTTTTTATTTTTTCTCACAATTTCGAAAAAATTATTTCAGCTTTTTAAGAACATGCAATTATGTTACATTAATAACATAATTTCATAGATTTTGAGTTATTTTGTTTTTAGTAACCATTTTGGAGTAGATATTGGAAAAGTATGGAACTATGAAAACAGTATAGAGCAGTATCAGGCTACTGGAGGAACATCTAAGTCAAGTGTACTAAAGCAAATTGAAAAACTGCAATCGTGGTTAGGCAAAATATTGCCAACTGAGAAATGAATGATTTTTTTACCAAACATATATTTTTTATTAATATTCTGGATATTATATTTCATTTCTAATAAAACTTTCTTTTCTGTTCTAATTTCGGAAAAAAATATACAACAAGTATAGATATGCTCAGAAAAATATTTAATTGTAATCTTAATTCTGGCTGTCCCATGATGTAAGAAACGTCGTTATTTTAAAGAGGTTTCCATTACTAACAACGCCAGCAACTGAAAACATATATAATATTATTAAATTAATATGTAAGCTTTTTGGCTTATTTTAAAACATAGAATTAACAAAAATAATGCACAAGGATATAATAGTTGAGGATTTCAGATTATCTCAGAAACTACTATAAAGAAATATATATAATACGTTATCGAATTTAAACTGTCAAATAAGACATTTAATACCTTCGTTTGTTTTCCAGTTAACGTTATTCATGTGTTTGACATTTGTAGTCTCATGGGTATCTCTGTTGCTAGACAGGTTAGATTTAAAGTAAAAACTTTCATAATGACAGACCTCATAGTTACAAAAGTATGAAGCAAACTTGTGGACACCATATTTATTAAACAATTTATGTTTTTAATTCAACAGTGTTCTTTCTATATTACCTTACATGCTGATCTGTCCTTATAACAAAGAAAACATAAATCACAGCATTTTTTAAGATAAATAATTACGCGATGCCACTATTATCAAAAGGTTTTTAATATACTAAATAACATTACCACTCTCCATGGCTATACTACTAATCTTATTCACATCTTTAGAAATTAAATCCATAAATGTTTTGTATTGTTCAATTTTGTTATGGGACTCTAACAATTTTTCCCTCAATTTCTTGTTTTCCCTTTTCAGTTTCTGAATCTCAACTTTTAAATCGGCTATTAGCTTCTCCAAATTGTCTTTGATAATCCTCGTCTCTGTAATCCATTTTCTATTTATTTCAGTTTTAGAATCTACCTCATCCTGAAGTTGTCTTATTTTACTCGTATAATTATTGTTTATTTCTACTATTCTATTTTCATAGTACTGTTTCGTGGACCTACAAAATATAATGTGCATACACAATTGTTGATGCGGGCAAGAATACCTACGATTCATAATTCTCCCTTTGTACTGAATATTCCTTTTCCATTACGTCTAGTCGGTTGTTGACATTTATTAGTTTTTCCGTCAAGTGCACCAAGTTACCATTACTGTCGTCCAGATTCAATTGTAGCTGTTTTATCTTGTTTTGGAGTGTGATCTTTTCGATTTCCTTAGTTTTCAGTGTTCTCTCGTAGTGACTCGCCATTTGTTCCAAGTCATTTTTAATGGCGTCCTTTTCTGATACTAACTGAATATTCTGTTTCTCTGAAACTAACTAATAAGTAACAAGGATAATAAAAAAGAAATACACAATTGCAAATTTCATATTTTTGTATTCGTCTTACCAGTTTTTGAAAGGTTGATTCCAAGTTCTTTTCGAGGACGAGTAGTTTGGAGGTTCTACTTTCGTCGATGTTAAAAATTCCTCTTTGAAATTTCTCGATTTCATTTTCCAGAAGTTTGCACTTTGTTGTATATTTCTCAATTTCTAGTGATTTAGTCTTAATTTCTTCTTCGGCAACCTTCAGATCTTTTAGCAACTGCTCTTGTTTGAAATTGTGTTCTATTTTAAGTTTATTAACTTCGTTCTTGATTTTGTTTTCCGTTTCTCGAACGATATCTTGAAGTGTTTCATTCAGTTTTTGCGTTTCGTCTAAAAATGTATTTGATTTTGAAAGATTAAAGAGACCAATTTTATAAAAGTTGAAACGTTGGTGATAAAATAAAAGTTGGTACTAAATTGTAGATGATCAGTTCAAAATTAGTTAAAAGCTGCAGCACAAGAACTTATGGTAATTGTGGCTCTTGTTATTTAACAACTTTACTTAATATTTATCAATTTTTGCTTACCCTTAGCTTCCTTCTCTCGAAGAAGTGCGGCATCTTTTTCGTTCAAAGCAGCTGTGACCACCAGCACAGCTTCTCTAACTTTCTCTCTGCATTCAACATTGTTTTGATTAACACTATCTACAAGTTCTTCCTTTTCCTTGATATTCTTTTCTAGCTTCAACCTTATCTTTTCCGACTCCTGAAGACGTTTTTGTAAATTTAAAACCTCCTCTTCCAAGTTTTTGACTATTTTAAAGGCCCCTGCTTGAGTTTCCAAGGATTTATCTATTTCCAAATGTTTGGCTCCCAGTTCTTGCGTACAACTTTTTTGGATTGCTTCTAGTTTCCTCTGTGTAGCACTCAGTTTGCTTTCAATTTGGTTCAATTTTTCTTCATAGTCTTGTTTTAGCTGAAAAGTACAAAAAATTTTCCCATCTGTAGACTTATTCAGATTAATCAATTAGTGAAGCTCCATTTATTGCTTCACTAAAATAAGAATTAATGACAAAATAATTTAAAGCTTACTTTAACGACATCTTTTTTCGGAACAAATCCTTGAGTTCCAGCTTGGAAAACCTTTAGTTCACCTTCCAAAAAGTCGATCGTTCTCAATGAATTCTGCCACAATTTCGTTGTGCATTCTTTCTCGTCTAATAACTTTTGAACTTGTTGTTTTAAGTTTGTAGTGAGGTCAGTGTGATCATGATATAGTGAAATTTCATTTTCCTTGAGGGAGAACGATTGTTTTAATTCTTGATTCAGCCTTTTATTCTCGTCGAGGATAATGGAAATTTTTATTTTCAGGCTTTCATGTTCATTCTGTAAGAAGACGAGGTTAATACGTCTATTATTTTATTAACAAAATAGTCAAAATAAACATTCATACCTTAAAGAAATCAAGATCGTTGTTTAGTTCTTTAATTAGTGATTCGTAGTTTTCGATGATTGTTTGAAAACTTCTGAAATTAAAATATCAGTCAACATGTAGAATCAAGCTTTCCTTACAGAAAATAACAGGTATGTATATATGAATTTAGCAAATTAAAATTTGATAATTTTCGGTTTTATTAGTATTCGTTGTTTTCTTCTGGAAAAAATTGGCATCTATTGTCTGTGTCCAGAAGCGAGTGGGTCTTACCTCAAGGGTACCTACCATAGATGAAAATATTATTATTTTTTTTTGGATATGTAACTTTTTAAGGGAACAAAATTGTACTGGATAACTTGATATAAATACATTTATTTTTATTCAGTGAAGCTGTTCTTGTTTAGAATACAAATTATAGTATTAATATGTCGACATTTTGATTAGGAATATGAAAACATTTAATAATTGTGTTTATTTAACTTAAAACAACGCAGGTAATCTGCTGCCTGACGTCGACTCGATGAATTAACATTAATAGAAGTTAATTTCAATGTCAAATGGAACATTTGGATGTCCTTGGACTACCTTATAGACAGCTTGGCGACTTCTACATTACAAGCAGAAATGCTACAATCAAAAGTTATTTCAAAACTACGTTGTTGTTCGTCTCACTGCGTAGGTACCAAAATAAACGACGTTATTTACCAATGCACTAGCAGAATTAAGTACTGTTGTTCATAAAAATTGTAAGTATTTTGAAGTTTATAAATAATGTACATTTATATGCGCACTATCATATATTTAGTTATTTAGGCAGTTAAATTGGAAAGATTGGTTAAAATTTTCTTGTAATTTATTGAAGTCTACTTTTCAACTCCTTTCTGTTATGAACTTCACAAAACAAATTTAAATGTTGTGTTTTTTAATTTATTCCTTTTTTTATATTACAGAGAAAATTTCTCCTCTCAAATATTGTGTGGTAGAATATTTCAATTTCAAGTTATCGTACCAAAAACTGTTGAAAGAGTTTTACATCTTTTAATTTGCTTACAAAGAATGTCAGATATCACGAAAATAAAATTTCACGATGAAGAAACAGGTGGGTTTGAATTTAAAACTAAAAAACGGAAGTAACTAGGAATAATAACTATAAGACTAATCAATAAGGCACGGCATTTCCATAGGTTCAAACTTTTTTTCTATTATTAGTTCAAGCATTCTGTCACGGCCTAATGTTAAATTTACAGAAATTATTACCTGGATAAAAAAAATATGACCGTATAGGAAATTAAATTTTAAATTGAGTTTCTTGTTCTTTAAACTCGATCCAAAAGTCGCAAAAAAACGGTTTTTCTAAAATAACTAAAAAAATATAGCACCGATTGAAAAATTTTAAATGAGAAAGTTGTAGGTTTTAAAAAGATCTATCGACTGATCGTAGAAAAATATTTTATTTTTAAATTCATGAAAAAATTTCAGCAGTTATTTGAAAAAAACATACCCAAAAAAGTCAGTCAGTCATTTTTTTATCCTAAAAATTAATAAAATTGTCAACATTTATTAACAGCATGATAATATAATTCTTTACGAAAAAAATAAACCGAAAATCGTTACTGTAGGGCTATCCGCTGAGAAGATCTAGCAAATTTTCGAGAGCCCCTTTTTTTTAAATCTATTTATCTCGAAAAATAATTGATATTTTTAAATTTTTAAATAGCAAGTATGGGAACGTAAATGTAAACGAGTTATAGAAGAAGAGAAAAGAGAAGATTTATAACGGTTTTATCGATATATCTCGAAAAGTAACAAAGCAATCGATACTTACAAAAAATCAGTCGATAGATCATTTTAAAACCTACAACTTTCTGATTTAAAACTTTTCAATCGGTGCTATATTTTTTTAGTTATTTTAGAAAAATCGTTTTTTGCAACTTTGCGATTTTTTTAAACCATGTTCGCCATTTTGGATCGAGTTTAAAGAACAAGAAACTCAATTTAAAATTTAATTTTCTATACGGTTATATTTTTTTGTCCAGGTAATAATTTCTGTAAGCATTTCTCTATAATACTTGGCCTATACCTATTGTTTGTCTCTTTTCAATATGTTTGCGTCATTGTTTATTCAAATATCAAAATTATACTGGCATGTGTACATACATGTGTATTACCTCCAATAAAGTACAAAATACAAACAGATAATGCTATAGTTTAAAAATAGTGCTTGGTTCTGTTGTAAAGCAAAAGNTTTACGAAAAAAATAAACCGAAAATCGTTACTGTAGGGCTATCCGCTGAGAAGATCTAGCAAATTTTCGAGAGCCCCTTTTTTTTAAATCTATCTCGAAAAATAATTAATATTTTTAAATTTTTAAATAGCAAGTACGGGAACGTAAATGTAAACGAGTTATGGAAGAAGAGAAAAGAGAAGATTTATAACGGTTTTATCGATATATCTCGAAAAGTAATAAAGCAATCGATACTTACAAACAATCAGTCGATAGATCATTTTAAAACCTACAACTTTCTGATTTAAAACTTTTTAATCGGTGCTATATTTTTTTAGTTATTTTAGAAAAATCGTTTTTTGCAACTTTGCGATTTTTTTAACCATGTTCGCCATTTTGGATCGAGTTTAATGAACAAGAAACTCAATTTAAAATTTAATTTTCTATACGGTTATATTTTTTTGTCCAGGTAATAATTTCTGTAAGCATTTCTCTATAATGCTTGGCCTATACCTATTGTATGTCTCTTTTCAATATGTTTGCGTCATTGTTTATTCAAATATCAAAATTATACTGGCATGTGTACATACATGTGTATTACCTCCAATAAAGTACAAAATACAAACGGATAATGCTATAGTTTAAAAATTGTGCTTGGTTTTGTTGTAAAGCAAAAGAAGTAGCTTCTAAAGGCTATAAAGGGGAAAAAATAAACGTGGTATAGCAGAAAAAATATAGATCCTCTCATAATAACTTACATATTAGTTCAGATTTTTGTATTTAATTACTTACCAATTTTGACAATTACTGACATTTTTTTGAATTTTTGTCACGACTTAATAATAAAATATGACATTTAAACTACCCGCTAATGAATTATTATTTTTGTTGGTATCCATTCATTTTAATCCCGTATTTGATAAACTATGTACTTACGAAATATGTATTCCAGTAATATCTTCCATTTATTGCGTACGTATCCTTGTCCAAAATTCAACGTCCTTTCGAATTCGAAATTCGGCTTCACATCAAGGACCTCTGCAGTGTGACAGAGAACTAACTAATTTAATAATATCCCTAGGTGTACGTAACATGACATTTCGTAACATATTCTCCACAGTTTTTGACAAAATCAAGATTAACAGGCACCTAAAAGAGTTCGGTTAAAAATGTAACTGTGTAGAGCGGATTGTTTGTGTTGTGCAGCGTTTCTGGGTTTCTTCCGGTCTTGCTATATTTGTGCATTTTAATGAACACCTGCCACTGGATCAATAGTGTCGCGGGGGAATTTCAAATGTTGTTTGCGTGTTGTAAACTAAAACACAGGTAATTTAAACAAAGTTTAACTTACTACAATTTCTACGATTGTGTTGGTCAATTACACACTGAATATATTTTAATGTTGGGCTCTCTTTTTTACGTTTTAAATTAAATAGTAGAAACATAAATAAGTACAGTTGCAAGCTGCTGAGATTTAAGAAGCAAAAAATAAATATACCCTTTGCTTCGCAGACTTCGCTATTTTTTGGTTCCGAACCACCAAGAACGGCGATGACAGCATTTTTAACATTAAGGCGATGTTTCGCATTGTATTAGCTATGTCCTGTACAAATTTAGTTTCGTGTAACTCTCTCGGTGTCAAAAATACAATACCTATGTATGTTTTCAGCCACGAAAATTGAATAATTCCAAATATTTCGAATTTTCACCACCAAGAACGGCGTTGACAGCATTTTTAACATTAAGGCGATGTTTCGTATTGTTTTAGCTATGTCCTGTCCAAATTTTGTTCATGCAACTCTCTTGGTTTCGACAATGCAATACTGTAATAACAGTTTCAGAATTTATTTTCAAGAGGAGAGAGATATGTCTCTCGAGACCTGAAGAAATAGAAACATCGTATCTTCTCACTTTGTAAAATTCAAATATTGAATTGTCCCTGAAATGAAATCTTGGCAATTTGCAGTTAATTTTTGAAGTATCCTCGTAAAATTAACCACAAATACATAATTTCATAGAATCACTTTAGAGAAGTTTACTTTTGATGTGGTTGGAGACCACATACCTACAAACAAATTTCACATTAAAAATACTTTTTTCTTTCGAGACTGTTAAAAAATGTTCAGTTTATGTGTACATTCCACGTATGCATTATGAATCTCAATCAGCAGAACTATCGTCTAGTTAATTTTAAACCATTGTCATAAAACTGTGTTCGTGATTATATCTTGACACGGTTAAAGACGATGTTACAATTAACTCACGAACACGTTACAGTTTAACTGTGGTCTGCTAACTTATTAAGGCTTTAATTATTATCCGTCTAATAATAAACAAAAAATAAGAGAAAGCAGCGTATGTATTGTCCTAATATTGTATTTATTTTTATAAACATCATTTTTGACTACAGTAATTTACAATGTTTTTCGTAGGCAAAGAAATTTTCAAGTCTTTGTTAATATCGTAAAAATATTTTAAAATAATTATTAGAATAAAGCATATACAGGGTGTCCACAAATTCCACCGACAACATTTGACTGCATATTCACGGCGATAAATAAATACAATCTACGAAAAAAAGTTAAATAAAAACATTTGGTTTTTGAATTACAGGCCTTCAAAGTTCTAAAAAATAAAACCTAGTATATCGATTTGACTAAAGCTTTAAGAAATAATACGCCATAATAGTTCAAATAAATGTTTCAAATTTTAACGCGATCGGTAAAAGGATTATGAAGTTATTAATTAAATTAGTTTTATTTTTGACAACTTTGAAGGTTTGTAACCAAAAATTTTATTTAACTTTTTTTTTCGTAGAACGTTTTTATTTATCGTCCTGAATATGCAGCCAAACGTTGTCAGTGAAATTTTCGGACACCCTGAATTGACATAAACAATTTTTAACCAAAGGAACAATTCTCAAATTAGGAAAATAGTGAAAATCCATACAAGAACATCCAAAGTTATCCTACTTATACCTTGATGATGTACGTTTTGCTCTACGTTCTATATTTCCAAAGGAAATACAAAAAAAAACTTTAAATATACATAATTGTAAAACTGTTTTTCATCTGTAAATATCATCTTTTTATTTCATAATTTAAATGCCAGGTTAATCTTTCAAGGATATTTTAAATATTTATCCCGAAAATTCAGAATCAATATAATAAATCATTTAATGCGGTAGTTTGAGATAGACACAACTAAAAAAATTATAGCTTCTAACAGCGACGAAACCATATTTTAATTTAATTTACGTTTCAGATAAAAATATGCTGTTCTTTCGTTCTTAAATAAAATAATATGAGTTCAACTAATCTGTACCTCAACATCAGTAAAGAACAATGGCCTATCATTTATAGGAAAGAGTACAATGTAAACTTTATGGGGCTAGAAAAATTACACCCCTTTGATGCACACAAGTGGAAGAATGTATACAAGGTAAACAATTCACATGTTATTTACATGAATTGTTAAATGTAGCGTTTCTAAACAATTCTCACAATATAGACATGAATTATTAAATGACTCGTTTTAGTTTCTAAATGAAGAAGGTTTAATTAACGAAAAGACTGTAGTTGTGCCAAACGAAGCAACTAAAGAAGACTTGCTAATGGTGCATTCAAAGAGATATTTGAAAAAGTTAAATGTAAGTAGAATCAGACTGGTTTCTCTCGTTTATTTTTAATTTTCTACTGCATCATTTCATTTTGGTTCCAGTGTAGTCTATACGTAGCTAAAATAGCAGAAGTATTCGCCCTTGTCGTAGTGCCAAACTGCCTTGTTCAAAGCGCATATCTTAGACCAATGAGGTGAGTAACTCTGGTGTGATCTAATTTCGCTTTCAACAAATTTTAAGTCAAATTCCTTCGAGTTTTACTTCACTTCTCACTTTCCTCAATCAATCCACATTTTTCGGTCCGTGAGCTACATACGTATTTTGTACTTACTGGCACAGAGCGACCTACTAATCTTAGATGCTATGAGAACTTGACTTATTTGAGCACTAGGCGAATTAAATTTTATAAACTAATGATATTATGGGATGTAACTACTCTGCGAACTACATGTTCCGTCCAGCAACAAAGTATTTTAGTTGTTTACTAGATATTTCGGGTGCAATTCAATGCTGGACAGAGCGCGCGTAGCTATGACTATATTAAAACTTTATTTCGCTTAGTGTTACCAAGTCGTGCTACAGATTAGTAGGTCACTCTTTGCCAGTAAGTATTTTGTAGCAATTTTTCAATAAAACTTATCTTTATCGATATCCATTTACAGATTTCAGACTGGTGGATCTATTTTAGCTGGAAAGCTAGCTTTAGACAGAGGATGGGCCATAAATATTGGAGGGGGGTTTCACCATTGTTGTGCTACAAAAGGAGGCGGATTTTGCGCCTATGCCGATATTACCCTCTTAGTAAAATTTCTATTTTTCCATTTTCCTAGAAAGGTAATTTTATGACATTAAAAAAATAGTCATTACAATAGTTTGTTGAGGAAATAACTTCTCACATTACACCATTTTTTAAAGTTTATATTTACATATTTTGAAATTATTAGTCAACTAAACTAATTAGAAAAATTATGTGTTGTAGTGTTGCTTATTCGCACATTTCTTTGTTCAATTATTAAAAATATGAAAATGTTTATTTTCCTAATAAACAATAACCACAAGATGTTTTAGATATGTTCCATTAGCGGTACATTGACCTTATCTTTAACATTCTCATAAATTTATGTTTTCTTGACATTATGGGCACTTTATAATTGCTTAATAGAAACTATTAAAACATAATGGATAGAAGTAGATACAATAATTACACAAATCAACTCCATATGTCTAATACCTATATGCCTTAAGGTGCGAAGAGTTTTGATAGTGGATTTGGACGCCCATCAAGGCAATGGTTATGAACGAGATTTTAAAGGCAAATCTAATGTGTATATTATGGACGTCTTCAACAAATGGATTTATCCCTGGGATACTGAAGCTAAGAAGGCCATAAGAAAGAAGGTCGAACTTGACTTTTTCGTGTCGGATGAATCTTATCTGAAAGTTGTCAAAAGGTAAAACTTATTTTATTGCTACCAATTTTTTAACCCAACCAAGATATTGGAAAATTTGTATTGCTACCAGCTATGCAACATTCGAATAAGCCTGGCCTGGCATACCATCAGCACAATGCAGAAGTTTCGAATGTATGTCATTTGCAAAATCAAAAATTATAATAGGGGTTGCCGATCCTGAAATCTTGGAAGGAGTTGCACATTTTTGTACAAAATGTTTAATTTTTCACAAAATTAAATTTTCTTTGTAGTTACACCTATTTCAATTTGAAATTGATAGTCATATTCCATTTTCATACTTCATAAGTCTGTAACTTCTTGAATAACTTTTAGGTAAAAAATTGTTAGGAATAAAAGAGATTGCTTGTGTAATGTTATGATCAGTAATTATAAAATAATCATCACTAAAAATTATTTATAACAAATATTTAATTACCAAGATATTTATTTTATTATTTTATTAATTTTGGTGTTGATTAAATTTATTCATATATTTTTTAGGAACCTAACTGAAGCACTCGCTGAATTTGATCCACAAATAATGATTTACAACGCTGGAACTGACATTTTAAAAGGCGACAAATTGGGAGGGATGTCGATTTCAGAAAAAGTTAGTTTCATTTTATCTTTTGAGTACGCATTTGTTATCCTCGTGAATAACTGAAATAGTTGCTGTTTTTAGTTTTTCCGTAGACATAAGGTGGACGACAATTTTTAATTTTAGTATTAATGAACTTTCTTCATTTTAGGGTATCATAAAAAGGGACGAATTGGTATTTCGCGAAGCAATCTCAAGGAGCATTCCGATAGTAATGTTAACAAGTGGCGGATATTTAAAGAAAACAGCAAAAGTTATAGCTGATTCAATAGTACACCTGTATAAGGAAGGCCTAATCCATGGACCACAAGAGTATTATTTTTGACTTAAAAAAATTATAGGCATGGACTGTTATATTGTAGATATAAAGATAAGTTGTCAATAAATATTTATTAAAATAGATTTTGCTTATTAAATAAAAATATGATCAATGAGGACATATTTTATTTGAATTTATTGCAATAAATTTGCTATAACGATTTAATTTAATTACCAATTAAAATCTACAATTAAAAATGTAATTATTATAAAATTCCTTATTTCCCTTTATTGTTTTCCCAGTATGGAGATATGACCGTTGTTTTTACTTGAAAAGCTCAACAGAAAGTAGGAAAACAATTTAAAGTGGGTAATTTAATTGCGTGGCAGCAACGTGATATTCTGCAATTGTTAAATGGAAATCAATCAAATAAGGTAATTAAAATCCCTATCTCGCTTTATCCTTGTTGACAGTAACGGCAACCACGAATTTTTCTAATGTATTATAAGCACCTATTGTATCCGACATGTATGTGTTTGTATAAAGACAAGTAGGTTAATGTTATAATCGTTAAGTAAAAAAATATTTTATATTGGAAATACCATTGAGAGTTAGAGGTAGATATCGAATGAATAAAAAATACCCATCCGAAAATAAATTCGTACCAATTAAAAATATTAAACATTCTTGCCTGGATAAAATGCTAGTTAACGCACTTATACAATAAATAACTATTGCTGTAGCTCCACATTTTAATCTTCAAGATTTATAAATAGTAAATAACTGTTAGAATCTGTTCAATTTCTTAAAAATCCAAAAGTTGGATTCTATTCACATATATTGTCGCTTTTCTTATTCATTTGATTAAATTCTTAATTATTGCACATTTATCCGCTGCACATTATGTAACTAACAAGAATAAGTTACATCTTACTGTGGATAATATCTACACCTTAATGATTTTATTTCTTTCCTAACAAAATTTGTGACTGTTGACTATTCAAGTCTAGCAGACGTACCAAAATAACTTATTCATGCGTAAGCCTCTTAAATATAAAAACATATTTGAGATGAAAGTCCAGCAACAACAAGAGGTATCAGAATTCTGTGCGAAAATTAGGTTACTATAATACGGTTATGGCCTCGAGAAGTGAACAGGTTGGAGGAAGCGAGACTATTATTTGCGTTAGACGTCAGTGAATGTATTAAAAGTGGTCAGTGATCACTTTTCTAAGACCGGAGGAACATGGATTAAATCAGGCTAGCTTTTAGGCCACTTAGATGTTTCCGTTACCCCCGAATTTTATAACTTCTTAGGAAGTGATTAGGCATAGTGGATTGTCTTGTATTTGTTTTTTGTAAGAGAAGTGTGAAAGCTGCAAACAGTGGGTTAAAATAAATGTTCTTTTGTCTTAAAGAATAATACGTGTCTATGAAGAATAACTTTCAATTTTTAAACATCGTGGTAGTTTTTAGATCTAAGAAAGAATTCTGTTGCAAATCTATGATATCTTTTTTTTGAACCACAGACTGTCTTTAAAAACCCATAAGTGTGTCAAAAGAACACTTTATGTGTTAAATAAAACTGATTAAGGTTTTATTCGATAAACACACCTAAATGCAAATGCATCGACCAAGCGCGAACTGGTTTTTAACTAGAATTCTTGGACATGTTAAGCATGCAAAATAAACGAAATTGACGGTGGAACATGCGTAGCCATCATAACTGATTGAAAATGGGAATACCATCGGAAAAAGTTGAGAAAGTAAGATAGGAAATAGGTTATCAGGAGAAATTTTCTTATTTAATTTTTTCATTTCGTCTACGTCACTTTTTCAGACATTTCTATGTAACTGGAGGTTTTGGTACACCAAAATATAAATGTAAGCTTATTAGCTAAAATAGAGGTCACTATGATCGTCCTAAACAGCTTTTGTTATTTCATTATTGAAATACACAATAGTTAAAAAAAACGGATAGGGCACAGTTATGAGACAATATTTTTTGAATACTACTTTGCTTTGAGTTTTACCTAGTAGGCTACCAGATGCAAAAAATAAAATATATATTATTTTAGACGTATTTAGTTTGATTTTCAAATAGTTTGATTTGATATTTAAAAATTTAAGTACCTAATAAAGTTACTGTCAAATTAATATACATACATTTTATTAAAGGAATTTTTTTATTTCTCAATGTTTTGTACATCTGTTCCTATGTTGACCAGATATACAGGGGGCAACTAAAATGCTTGGCTAAGCTATAGGTGAAACTACAACCTCATGAAATATCAAAAGATGCTCCAAATGTATGTTTGGAAACGTTTTTGAGATACTTAGTGTTAAACTTTAAAAAAATGTATTTTTTTAAGACTACAAGAGAAAAACTAGTGATTTCATTCAAATTTATCGTGCAACTTTCATTTTTCAATATCCAAAAATCTCTGTACAGAATATCAAAAATAACATGCAACGCAAATAGTAAAAATATTAAGTGTATTTTGTACATTATTTTTCAATTTTATTAAAATAAACTCATTACAGATTCTCAAATCAGTGTAATTCAGTCCGTGCCAATCATGTGTTTGGAATCTAATCCTGTTAAAATCGAGGTGAGTGTCATCCTTTCCTCTTCTGTGTTCTGTTTTTAATTTAGCGCAGGTATAACTTTGCACTTAAGATGATACATGCCTCAGAATTTTTTCAAATAAACTTCGTATTATACTTATCAGCTCTAAAGGTTTTTTATGAAATATTTTCTTGCTGATGAACGTTGATGATGATGCTGTATAGTTACTGATTACTAATAAAAATGTCATGAAAAAATGCGTTGTTGAAATACTGATAATAATAATTCATTGTCTTTATTTATTTCTTATCAACTTAACTATATTTTTTCATTGACACATCGACACATATTTATAACATTTTTTTTTGGATTTAATAACTTTCGCCATTAAAATTCCGCCTAAAGAGTGCGTCTTCATTATACAAAGTGTTGTAGAAAAATATACCACAAGTTTAGAGAACGCGAATCATTTTTTATTAACTAACTCTTTTGTTTTTGAATTCAGAGCCCCAAACTAATTTTTTTATTAAATTTCAAACCATATATTGTCCAAAAAAAGTTTCACGCTTTAAAATTTGCTAGAGATAAGTTCTGAAAAGTACCTATCAAAAGTGTGTGTCAACATAAACGTTTTTTACTTGTATTTGGTACAATAATGGAATTAATCTTTTGCACATCCTTCCACCAAAAAGTCCTTGCCGGGAGCGTCTACAGCCTGGAGCCGGTCCCCACCGACGAAGATGTTCCCCAACATAGAACTGGTAAACTCGGCCAGCAACTAACCCGCTCATTCTCCGCATGTGCCCGAATGAAAGAGGCTACACAGCAACTTAACTCGTTATTTTTTGTTATACTAGCTGCAATTTATTCCGTTTTCAAACTAGTTCCGCAACGCGGCCTTACGTCAGCTCAGCTGTTGAATGATCTTGATCTTGATGGAAGAGGAATGGTGATTGCCACCAGTGTGTTTAGTTTCGATTATTAACATCTCGATATAGTTTAGGATAGGTCAACAATCGGCCTTGTAAAGAGTGTGTCAAGAATAGGAAGACCGATCTGATGGAATAGTGGAGAAATGTTATAATTAACGTGCTGTGCGTTTCCTATTGATTGTTTTTATGAAGAGAAAACGGATGCCCAAGCTGCAGAGATAGAGAGAAGACGCTTCATGAAAATACTGCAACGTGGGAATGTGGTACGTATACCTAATGACACATATCTAATTGCTGAATAGTAATTAGCCTCAGTTTTACTCTCTGTAATTGTAAATTAATTTACTTACGATTTGTAAACTAATTAAACCGTTATAAAATATTTCAGTATATAAAAAATATTGAGGGTGTACATTTATTGAAAACGAAACTTAAAAAACTATACTGCTATATAACTTACTTTATTTTCAGTTTAGAACTTTGATTTCTACGAAATTCACAATTTCAATTTGAGTTTTTACTCACCTTTTATCACTTAATGGAAAAGTTGGTACAATTAGAATAGCATATTCAAATTATCTTTTAGTTTTTGTGCATATCTGTATCTCGCTTATTTTTGTTACAACATTCAATATATTTATTATGTGCAAACTGCGTGCAATTGGTAGAGTAACACTGTTTATAAATAGAAAGTTCATAGTCTGAAAAATTGAATACTGTGAGATGTGCTCGAGAAGTCAATCTGTGAAAGTTTTAGCAAACCAAATGGACCACGTGATATAATAACAGTTCTATAGTCCATATCCTGAATGAATTATCCTATAAACTATTCAATATATGTTCATACGTGACTGACTGTATAAATTAAATATGTATTCAGCATTGTTTACAGAAAGTAGATTTTTAAAGTAGAGGTAGTTTTTTCTGTGAAAAATGGCCATGACTCGAAATTGTAAGAAGTAGATAAGGATCTTGTGCTCTACTACGGTTAAAATTTGACGCTAGGTACTATCTCGTTACAGTCACCTACACTTATACACTGTTTTATTATTTTAAATCAAGAAATAGTTGTTTAAAGTTAAACTCTCAAAGATCCAAAGTAAAGCTAGATTTGTTAAAGATTTGTATAGTATGTTTAGTTATTATTTGTTCTTTTACTAAAACAATTGGATAGAAATTTATTGTATAAATACTGCGTTTATTACTAATAAAAGTACAATAAATTAAAACGATATCCATCAACTCCGAGTTGCTACACACGCAAGCCATTTTTGACACTAACTACTAAAAAACTATTGTAAACACTATGGCAACGACGACTGTAAAATCGGATTCAGTATTCGGAGTCGCGAACGACAAAAAGTGTCTCATCTTGAGTAGGAAATTCTATTTAAAGTATGTGCAACAGGCGTGTTAAGTTCAGGAACACCTCCATCCCCCTCCCTCTAAGTATAAATGTTTATGATCAATTTAATTCAAGATGGACTATAACAAATGCAAATTTCTTTATTGTCAATTTAGTCGCATCTACAGTAATATACGCATTAAGATTCCGATAAAAATAAATCAGATGCTAAGAAGGTTCATGCAAATTTAAAATGTTTTAATAAAAAAAATTATAATTTTGACATTCTCTATGTTGAAAAAATGTAACTTTCTTATGAACTAAGTGTTCCGTATATCTGTATCTGTAAATGCTAATCGGTATATTTGAATTTCTGTCAAATTAAACAGGGTCGCTAGATGAACATCTTGGTAATTTTTTTTTTAAATCTCTCCATAGCCGTTTCCAATAGGACATTGGAAAATGGCCCATTTTTTTTTTAAATTAACGTTGTGGATTTAATCAGAAAAAACTTAATCTAGGTAATGACCTTATTTTTAGCAGATACATTTTATATGAACAAAAATATATTATTTCAAAGAAAAGTTAGTACATAAATTTGTTCAGTGTAGTTTAAGAATAATGCCTTGTTGTGCAACAACAGTAATTTTTGTAAAACGACACTTTTGATTTCAAAACTTCCAATTACCTGAAGAAGAATCTAAGTGGTTAAAACAACTATTAGGAATGGAAAGGAGTCAACTGACCACAATATGATTCAGCTTAAAGCCTCTTCATATTAATAGCTTTATTAACGAAAAAAAGCGACACGTCCATTTTGATTTTTTTTTTTGTTCAATATTATTTCACAGCACAACAGACATACCATAGGTATTTATACCTATACAAATATTGTTTTGCAAAACGTAAAATGAAACGGTAAAGACGTTGAAGTGTTGGAAAATGTAATACATGCTAAACAAAGTTCATTCGTATAATAAAACATCGAAGCCCGATGCAATATTTTGGCGAAGGCGTGAGTGCTAAGTTGTCGTCATTCTCATATACATGGTGTTACGAAAAAAAGTAGGTCAAGTCGTTAACCACAAATTCTTTAGGCAAAAATAATGGGACTTATGTCATTTTCAAGACACATTGTATCAAGNCAACTCCGAGTTGCTACACACGCAAGCCATTTTTGACACTAACTACTAAAAAACTATTGTAAACACTATGGCAACGACGACTGTAAAATCGGATTTCAGTATTCGGAGTCGCTGACGCCACGTGGCTCTCTATGCGTATTACGAATGACGCTAGAGACTACAGTTGTCAAGCTATGCAATGGTTGAAAGTACTACAACTATAATAATTTTTTTCTCGGAAACTATAAGGATTTCACAAAATTTTTTTTGCCATATTGGCTCCATTTCTCATCTATTCCCAATTTTTTTTGGATAAGTTGTGAATCAGTCTGTATAATTTAACAAGAGATGCCGTGAACGTGTTCAAGAACCGTATCAGCAGCGTGTGGGAAAAAATTGCGAACGACAAATAGTGTCTCATCTTGAGTAGGAAATTCTATTTAAAGTATGTGCAACAGGCGTGTTAAGTTCAGGAACACCTCCATCCCCCTCCCTCTAAGTATAAATGTTTATGATCAATTTAATTCAAGATGGACTATAACAAATGCAAATTTCTTTATTGTCAATTTAGTCGCATCTACAGTAATATACGCATTAAGATTCCGATAAAAATAAATCAGATGCTAAGAAGGTTCATGCAAATTTAAAATGTTTTAATAAAAAAAATTATAATTTTGACATTCTCTATGTTGAAAAAATGTAACTTTCTTATGAACTAAGTGTTCCGTATATCTGTATCTGTAAATGCTAATCGGTATATTTGAATTTCTGTCAAATTAAACAGGGTCGCTAGATGAACATCTTGGTAATTTTTTTTTTAAATCTCTCCATAGCCGTTTCCAATAGGACATTGGAAAATGGCCCATTTTTTTTTTAAATTAACGTTGTGGATTTAATCAGAAAAAACTTAATCTAGGTAATGACCTTATTTTTAGCAGATACATTTTATATGAACAAAAATATATTATTTCAAAGAAAAGTTAGTACATAAATTTGTTCAGTGTAGTTTAAGAATAATGCCTTGTTGTGCAACAACAGTAATTTTTGTAAAACGACACTTTTGATTTCAAAACTTCCAATTACCTGAAGAAGAATCTAAGTGGTTAAAACAACTATTAGGAATGGAAAGGAGTCAACTGACCACAATATGATTCAGCTTAAAGCCTCTTCATATTAATAGCTTTATTAACGAAAAAAAGCGACACGTCCATTTTGATTTTTTTTTTTGTTCAATATTATTTCACAGCACAACAGACATACCATAGGTATTTATACCTATACAAATATTGTTTTGCAAAACGTAAAATGAAACGGTAAAGACGTTGAAGTGTTGGAAAATGTAATACATGCTAAACAAAGTTCATTCGTATAATAAAACATCGAAGCCCGATGCAATATTTTGGCGAAGGCGTGAGTGCTAAGTTGTCGTCATTCTCATATACATGGTGTTACGAAAAAAAGTAGGTCAAGTCGTTAACCACAAATTCTTTAGGCAAAAATAATGGGACTTATGTCATTTTCAAGACACATTGTATCAAGGTTAAAATTTAATAAACGATTTTTATTGATAACTTCGTTTTAAGGCATTCAACTAAAATTTTGCGGGTTTATATACCGATACACCTTTTGTGTAATTTTAGTTAGCATAAACTAGACATAAAAAGACATAACGCGAGTCCTATTATTCTTAATAATGTGTGTATGAAGAACTGGTAACTAAAATTAGCATTTATTGATAATATTAATTAATTGCATTATTAATATATATTTAATTAATTTAATAGTCTATGATAATATACTAATAGTATTTATTCATAATAATCTCAGAATCAATTTCACTAACATGTCATCAAAACAAATCTTAAAGTATGATGAAACAAATACATTTTTTTAAATGTCATATGGCGTTGTTATTTTAAATAACTTTTCTAAATGTAATATAATAATTCAATTAAATGATTAAACAGTAATAGGATAAAATATTTGTTTACCTATAACTATTAGATTTAATCTAGTAGCAACTCCATAAAATAATTATTATGCTCTATTACTCTTAAATGTACAATTATTCTGCGAGGAAAAATACAGAGAATAATTCTTTGCCTTACGTAGTACGAGACAATTCGTTTTCATACTCTTAGAAACATCACAGCGTATTAAATGGCATATAATGTTAATGCGTATCCACCTTTAGATTTTTTGATAATCTTTAGGAAATTATTGATTTAACTTCAAACGTGTTAATACTCAACTTTTTTAATATTCATAAAAAACCTCAATACTTTTTTCACTGGTTTGTTATATTTTATTTCATTCTATACAAACAAAAATAACCAATTATTGGAAATTCTAAAATAAGTTGAGGTATTACAATAGAACATAATCATTCAGCTTTACATCTTCATAGAGGTGATAATTGTACCTTGTTACTGCATAACTGCTTATTAGCGACACACATAGTCATCTATTATTATTTATTTAAAATCAAAATGCTTGACAGTACGTGCAATTAAAATAATTACTTATAACGAGAATTTCATTATTTCTGTTAAGTAACAATGTTCCTATAACGGAATAAAGTTGTGCACTATACGGTATGTTTCTAAATTACAGAGCCAAACTTAGAAAGTAAATGATATTTGAGCAAATTGTTGGTCTGGAGATACATAATAATTTTTTTTTCTCACACTTAAAGCATGAAATTTTTAATAAATTAATTAAAATAGATTCCTGTGCCAAAGTGTATAGGAATATGTTTGTTTGACTTCTCCAGGAGCTTGGAAAGTACATAACC